TACCTTAGAGCGGCACTTACAGTTTTTTCACTCAAATAAATTACTCTAAAAAAATATATTTCCATTTCCATTGGCATTATAAAATTTCTAATTACGATTTTACATATTGTTAAAGATTAAGATATTAACTGCAAAAGGTTCAGGGTGTTTTTTTCATGTGTCTAATTAAGTTACAAGTTACCCCAAAGGATGCGATTTCAAGATTGTAGAGTTTTAATCTGTTCTTAACTCCTATTCTTTGTGGTTATTCCTGTAGGTTTAAATAAAGCGATGGGCAATTGCTAGATTCGTTTTACAGAAACTTTTTATACTTTTGGACTAATAAAGATTTACGGGTTCAACGATTTGAAATTGTCCTCTAGGCATAAGTTTTCGTTCTTTAATATTTAACAGAAAGGCGTGTTTTCTCGTAAATAGTAAATTCGTTCTGCGCTCGTTTATGTGCCCCACATTTTTAAGGATGTCTGGGACGTACCCCCAAATTTTTCAGGGATGGGAAAACCCCCCCCCCCACTTTTTCAGGGATGGACCCTACCCCCAACTTTTTTGGGGATGGGATGTACCCCCCAACTTTTTCATGAATGGGACGTACTCCCCAACTTTTTAGGGATGGGACGTACCCCCCAACTTTTTAAGGAATGGGACGTATCCCCTTTTTCAGGGATGGGCCATGCCCCTAACTTTTTCAGGGATGGGACGTATCCCACTTTTTCAGGGATGGGCCATACCCTCATCTTTTTAAGGATGGGCCTTACCCCCAATGGGTATGGAACGTTTATATATTCCTTTAAATGGATCAAAAAGTAATAATATTTGTTTAAATTTTTTCATTCTACACTTAAAATTCAATTTAAATGATTCTTCTTCTTTTCATTCATCAGTGTATACTGTATAGTGTACACCCATCGATTCTTTGATAGTTTTTCTTTTAAATCTAACTTTTCATCCACAGACATTTTACAGTATTTGATTTTTAATCTTTTGATACATTTACGTTTTTAGTTTTATTTTCACATGTCTTTGTTATTAGCTTATGTTACGACAAGAGGTTTCAACCGGAATTCCGTTTTGCATGGAATTACTCTGATTAAAAGAGCTTGCAGTTGCCGCAAGTAAAATCCACTGGCGTTGGAAACCCTACTATAGTTACGAAATAAAGAAAATACTTTAGATCCAACTTCGCTAATATATAGTTCTTGTTTGATTACAATAATAAAAACACAGAATTTCACAGACTTCAGTTTCTCAGACTTCCAAAACAAACTTAACTATATCATACAGTCATACCCAGAAAACTGTGGAATAGGAAGACGACATTATAGCATTTCTGATGTGCATTTTATGTTGCTTAAAGCAAATACCGTCAATTTAAAGTTATTAAATTACTTATTTAGTAAAATGGGTCTGTTTACATTGCATAATTGCTGTGCCTCATGTTCTTTGCGCTATTAAAGTCATTACTTGAGTTTAAAAGGCGACTTCCTGTTTTCTTGTTTTCACTTTAATTTATATAAACCTACTCCATTTTTCCCAAACCTTTATTTTATCATATTTTATATCGTATTTAACATTTTCGGATTTGTCTCTAATTGGATAATGAGATAGATAGAAATATAGATGATACTGCCATGCAATTTCTATTGGTTTAGAATAGACAACAAGCACATGGCTGAACCCTGATTGGATCAGGTGCTAATGGAGTCGGAGTGGCCATTGGTCATTTTACACGTTCACACACTAGTGCTATGAGATATCGAACAGGAAATAGATTATTCCACGATGGGTCTGCATCATATCAAGTTCAATGCTTAATACAGAGGTTCACGACACTTTTGTGTTCCAAGTCCAACTAAGCGTTGATCCCAATGTTACGCAAATCTAAAAAACCTTTTTCCTCTTTGATGTTCCACGTGGTGGTCATATCCTGCAGGGATATTTTTATCTCAGAGAACAAGCATTTATCCTCAAATATATAAAACCAATATTGGATATCGAGATCATCGTTAAAGATTAACGATACGTTCAACTCAAAATTTCCTACCTCTGAACATGGAGAAAAAAAGTCAAAAAACAAAATAAAATTTAAAGATCTATAATATATTCAAGTAATTTTTTTAAAAATCAGATCATAAAAAATTGGACTTTTTTTAATTTGGGTTAACTAGCTCACATTGAAACTAAAAGTATTTATTCTTCATTATTTTTATTATACAACTTTTAATTAGGCAAAAGGTCCGTATTACTACATACTAAATAATGAAATAGATTTTTAACTCAACCTAAACAAAGTACTAAGAAAGAGCTGTAAAAGGTTGCCTGCTACTTCTAAATTATTTAAGAAAATTATAGTTTCAAAATAATGGTTTGTCTGACCAGGGCTCAAGTAAGCTAATTAAAAAGTACTTCATCAAAAAATTACAAAATGTATATATTTTCTAATGTCTAGACCTTAAATTATAATTATCAACCCAAAACACGGTATTTCATGAAAATAACAAACCAAATTCTGCCACTCTCCATCTAAAGCATTTATAATCTTAATTCTAGACATTAATTCAAACTATAGCCGGTCTGCAAGTACTAAAATTAATAGTTTGTTAGGCTTTTGACTTTTTAATTTGAAAAATAAAATACGAAATTTTAGTCATCAAAAACGTTAACAGTAAGACACATACAAATGTAGAAAAAAATGGCATTTAAAAACTCTTAAGTGTAATATATGCTGTTTTTATGTTGCCTTAAACTCAATAGGTATTTGTAAACTGCAAAACTTCTGTGGTTCTCGCTCATTACCCCTTTTTAGAATTAAAACTTAAGTTCAACAATTGTCTTTTTTATTCCACGGTTTTTAAGTTTTATTTTTCTTCATAACATAAGAAAAAATAAACAACAGTTTAAGATTTATTTTCATAAAATTAATTACAGATGGTAAACTATTAAGTTTATCTTAGATATCTACACATTTATTATGTACATGAACTTTAATAAATATTTAACAAAATATATCTTTAGCATGAAATAATGAAAATATAATCACAATTTACAATGTAGTCTGGACCCGTCTAACCATGACAGGTGGTTTGACTGGTTGACCCAAAAATTAATTCTCAAGAAAGTGGATTTTTGGAAGAACACAAATAATGATATAATTGACATATACAATGCAGAAATAATGTAGAATTAACATATAAAACAATACAGAGTTCTGAATATAAATATAATTAGATTAATATAATAAAGAGGATGGTGAAGAAAGTAAAGATAAGTTTTCATTACAAAATTATAAAAAAAAACTATTAATGTTCTCTGAATTCAATTTTTCTAATTTTTGCAATCTGTTTATATATCAAAGTTTTAAATATCAAAGGTTTACATCATCATCAAAATACAGGTCTTAAAGAACTAGAGTCCTGGCACTGTAAGGTTTTATTTTTACACAACATATTTAAAGAAAAATAAAACTTTAAACATGTAGGACTTTTGGTTTTTGGAACAGTTCCAAAGTTCTGTTACCGTGGGGGTGTATTTTTTTCTTAAATCTCAGAGAATCAAAAACCTGGGACAGTCCCGGGACTTTGGGACTTTCCCAGTAGCTCAGGAAATCCCCGGGAGGGTAGGACTTTCAAAGAAGCCTAGGACAGTCCAAAAACCCGGAGTCCCGACACCATAGGGGATTATTTTTTTCTCAGAGACCCAAAAGTCACAATTTAAAGTGTTTTTTTACACTTGCTGTTGGCCTCTGGAAATAATAAATTTTGATTTTAAGATTTAGAAAAATGCAATTTTCTTTTCTTTCTAATTTTCTACTAAATTTAAAATATAAATGGTTTTTTGATGCAAAAAATGATTTTTTAATACCTCAACGGTTTTTATAAGAGATGTTACTCAAAGATACCGAAACACACTAGAAGGGATATTTTTTAAATATGCGAGTAATTTAGAACTGTCCAATCCTGGATGTGATGTGAAAATCAAACAAGTGTGCTCAACTAGGATGTACTGTACATTGTGGTAAATTTAAGCCATTTGACAAAATGGTAATAGACAAAACTGATTCTTTGGTATATTTGCAATATTTCTCAATCTAAACAAGGTTGTTTAGCCATTTTAACAATATTTCTACAATTTCGAATATAGAAAATATTTCAAATTTGTTCGTGCTTATTGAGAAATGGAATATTGATAAAGAATAATTATGGTTTGATTGACATTTAATGGGTTTCCAGGAGTATCATTTATTATTGATTGATAGTATATAGCTGATTCAAATGAGTCTTTCTATGACGTTTTTCTAAATACTGATACAAAATACCAATCCACTAAACAACAGACCAGAACTATTTCCAACTAGTTTTTCTTCAAAGTATTTCTAAATACTGATACAAAATACCAGACCACTAAACAACAGACCTGAACTGGTTCAAACTAGTTTTTCTTCAAAGTATTTCTAAATACTGATACAAAATACCAGAACACTGAACATGCCTGAACTGGTTCAAACTAGTTTTTCTATAAAGTATTTCTAACTACTGAAATGTTTGCATTAAAAAAGTCTATTTTTTATTTACAATTTTATTTGTCAAAGCTAATTATTGCAAAGAAGGCAAAAGCATTAGTTTTTATTTTACATAGAGTGAATCCCAGATATATGAATACATAGACCGTCATAAACTTCTTTATAATTCTAAAGCAACTTCTTTTCATTTTTAATTCAATGAATAACCCTGAAATATGAATGCAATTGATTCATTTTTAAGTGGCATTTGATCTTAAATATGTAATACGACATTATAACAAACTCTTGCTATGTAGTCATATATCTGGGATTTATTGTATCAAAACATTTTCCAGTAAAATCCGAATATCTTATTTTTATCTATTTTCAAAAAAATTTAGATAAATTTTTTTTTATTTCTTTGGGAAAAACGAGAACATACTCTTTATTTTGTTTTTATTCTTCAAAAAGGGGTGTGTATTCGTTGTTTAAATTTAATTTCAATTTCTTGAATCTTTAAAGATTTAAAAAGTTGAAATTCAATTTAAACCAAGATTACTGAAGAAAATATAAAATCAACGATTCACAAAATAATTCTGTTAACCTGAAAATAGAAATTAAAGGGGAATTCTATGCAATAGTTTATCAGACAAAATGAGGTAATGGTTTTGTTACTTAAAAGAATAATTATTGTATTATGTTCATTATCTTTTTAAAAGAACTGTAATCGCTATAATTTTAAGTGATCCTTCATGCAACAATCGCAATGCCCGAATCGCAAAGGTACTCTTAAAGACTTTGTATGATCAATGTATGAACTAGATACTAAAAACTGATAATTTTTAATTATGGTTTCGCTACAACAGTGACTGCGCATTTTTACATTAGGAAAACATTCAGGAATTATTAGAATTAAACACTTATAAACCTGCAAGAACGACAATGTTCTTTTACATTATCTCATCTTGTAAAGGTTTCAAGGGTACCAATGTGAATCAGAAGGGTCACTTGAAAATTATCATTTCTGAAGCAAAACAGTTCATAAACATTTCTCAAAACTGACAAGTTAAATTTTGTTCTCTGGGTTCCTTGCCAATTTATGCAAAATTGACTTGAACCCAGTTCTTGACAGAGATTCGTACATTTTAATACAAATAATTGTTTTAGTGGATCTAAGTAAAATTTTAGTTAAATACTATTAAAATACTATAAACAAATACCTGGATTATCCTGATTTTATAAGATCGTAATTATTTTTTTCATGCATTCATTAAAATACCATAATAATCTTGTTTTGTACAAGATATATATTTATACAGTGAGAAGAGGAAACTATGAATTAAACGCCAGCTTTGTTCTTCTTTTAATTAAGAAATGTCCATGACAATTTTGTAATTTGCAATTATTGCAACTAATGTATTTATAAATAAATTTTATCTGTAAAATTTTTAATCAATAGAAAAAAGAAGAGGACAAGTATTACAATGTTTTCTGGTTATCACTGTATTTATTGGAACTATTGTGAAATATTTCATAATTATTAATAATCAAAATTATTAATAACCTTTGAAATATATCTTTATGAGCTATAAAGGTTTCTGCTTTCCTCAATGAAAGATTTCAATAAAAATTCATAATTTTTTTGATAAAAAAATTCAAATATACTTACTTGTTGTTGTACAATCAAAGCACTCTGTTGTTGTTGCTGAAAAAAAACAAAAAAAATAACAAATTATGAAATGCGTTAAAATACAGTCGTCGTCATATATATCAATACAATGAAGACGACATTATATTCCAATTTTGGTTTCTACCAACAACTAAGCTTTCAAACTGGAATCAAAGAGAAGCTGTCAATTAACAGACTCGTTAAATATTTACTTGTAAACTAGTAAGTTAAAAAATCTTATTAGAAATCAAAACTTATTGGTATAAACGCCGCCGACCACTATCTATATATAAATTTGGCTTGTCTGTCTGTTTGTTTGTATCCAATAAACGTCAAAACGACTGAACTGATTGGGCCCACATTTTTTGTGGGACATCACATGACCACAGGGGAGGTTAACGAATGATAAAAATAAAAAATAAATGTATTTAAAGGTTATTAATTTTGTAAAAAAAATTTAGATTCTTGAAAATCCGCGAAATTTTTCTTCTTTGTTTTAAAATGTAAACAAAAAGAACATAATATAAATAGAAGATGGGCGTGAAGCGCCCTAAAAGCCTAGTAGTAAAATAAACACTTACGCCAAACACATTGATATTGACTCCAATCATCAGGAGCATCAAAAGCTCCATTTTCCTGGAAAAAAAATCCATTGAAAATATCAAAATAAAATATAAGGTCGAAAAATCCAACGAAAAGATAAGAAAGTAAAAGTACGTAAAAAGATTATGTTGAAAAATAAATGCAACAACATAGATTATTTGTATTTGCATCCTCCGCAACATTTTGGTAGAAAATATCAGACAAAAGGAGCAGGTGGAAAAATTACACTAGAAGATGATTTTTTGAACTATATGCAACCCAATTCAAACCATGACTCTCAATGAAACTTAAAAGGATAAAAAGAAAAATAACCCTGTAAACCCTCCTCCTACAAGCATTCCAGTGCTTTCTTGGGAAAGGGACTGTACATGTAATTTTAAGCAATTTCCTCTTTTAATAGAGTGGCATGTCCTATTTACAACAGTGCTTTCAGAATATGTCAAGCGTAAAAATTTGTTATTTAAAACTTCTAAGTTTCATTATGAAACGGACTTTGCATTCATGCTTCAGAGATAATTTAGAATTTTTTTGATTGTTTCTCAGATAGAGGTTGAATTAGAGCAAATTTTGTGATACCTACATGCCACTATTTATGTCTCCAATATTTCAAGTAAAAACTGATTTAAACGAATAATTGTTAAAAACTCTAGACATCAGTGTCGCAATCAGTGTTAATCGTTTTGGTTCGTTTTTTCAACTTACAGGATTTACCGATTATATTCTGTTAAGTTTGTTAATCACGTTTTATGGTTATTTTTGCCTTTATTTTCTGTCAAGGTCAAAATTTGGCCTAATTTAAGAAAAGCAAATATTTAGAATAAGAAATATTTTCTCTTGTTACACAAATTCTAACTAGGGCTTCCAACGCGGATTTTACTTGCGCGCAATTGCGAGCCCTGTAAACTCCTGACAATTACGCTCAATACCGCAAAATTGCGCGCAATTTGAGAAAAGTCGCGTGCAATTCCGAACAGTTTGGCGTAATTCCGCGCAATTGAGCGCAATAGATTTTCGAATGGAGACCCTACTTCTAACACAACTATGCCAGATTTTGGTCCTAAAGAAATAAAGTAAATGCAAAAAACGAACTTGAAAGTTTAAGCGTTCTAGTTTAAGCCATGAGGTGGGGGGGGGGGTTTAAACACCCTTGTCCCCCCATTGTATAGGGTTAATACACATCCCTATAACCATGAGGGGGGGGGGTTAAAAACCCCTGTCCCCCCAATTTACACAGGGTTAATCCCAATAGTCGTATTACCTGACATGTAGACATGACAAATGGAGTGGCAAACCAATCATAATCAAACACTTGACCTTCTGGACATCTAAAGGTCAAGTTGAACCCAACAGGGGGAGCTGGAGATAGATTTGCATCTCCAAAACCAGCATAGCTGAAATTAAAGAAATAATGTTTACTTCACTATAAATGAAATAGGTTGGTTTACATCAATTCAAATTAAAAAACTTTGTCTTGAAAACAATTTCAACATTTAATTTTTTTTTAAAGAATGCCAGAATTTAAATAAAAAATCTGTTAAAATTTTGTTGGAGAACAGTGAAAAATGATGAATTGAAGAGCAACCTCTAAAAGATATTACCTGGAATTAGACAAAAGGGCACCCTGAAAAGCTAGTTAGTTTAAATTTAACTTGATTTCACAGAGGTTTAAACATGGCTAAAAGTTTTTCTTTTCGTATCACCTTAATTGAACATCTCCTCTGATCTCCAAAGATTTGACCTCTGTCATAGGAAACAGATGCAGATAGTAAGGATAGGGTGGATCATCATTAGCTTGTACTGCCCAACCATCATCGTCACAACGTATTCTAAATTAAAACAAGGTCATCAAATACATTCCTCTGTAAGGGAGCCCCCAATCCAAATATAAATACTTACTTCAAAATGAACGGTTCATCAAAGTCGATCGTTGTTCCTTCAAATGGTTTTCCATCCACAATATCAACAACACCCTTTGACATAGAGAATTGTTATCTATTTGGGGATTATTGCAAAAAACCGTTAAAGAGCCAGACTGTAAGCATAATTTCAAATGACTCTTCAGAAACAAATGACAATGCTCGATCAATCAAGAGCTTTGTCTGATTGAGTATGAATTAGATATAAATATTTTAATACTTTTTAAAATCAATTATGGTCAACTATGGTTTCTCAAGGTTACCATTGTGAATTGGGCAGTGAATGGTGTTGTTTGAATATTTAAGTATGAATAAAAAGTTTCTTTCGCTATTTGCACTGATTTTAGCATAGAGATAAAAACATGACTGAAACTATTCCATGAAGACAGGATGCTCTTTTTTGTTGGAAAAATTGGATTTTTTTTTTAAAAATTGGTTCTTGAAACTAAGTTAAAACATATTTTTAACTCTCAACCTGAATCTGTCCAGAACGTTGGATAAATTCTCTCATTGGGTCTATAATTATGTGGAGAGCTTCATCTCCTTTTGCTCCATGCAAAATTATTTCAGGAACCTTTAAAAGAGATTTCAGATTTTTTGAAACTAATAAAAGTTCATATTTTAGTAGTGATAATTCAAAGCATTACATACATTAAGAGATATTAGGTAGATGAAATGGAACTTGCTAACCATATTTCATTAATAAGCTGTTTTAAAGTTAATTTTCAAGAAAAAAATGTTGATTCTTTGTAATTAAATACAATATTACCTTTTTCATTTTTGCTGGTATTTTGCCAACAATTAGAAGCTTTTTGCGCCCATCACATTGACTGGGACCAGGAAAATTGATTGTCATGGGAATGGGAGGATTATACATTCCATAATCTAAACAGATATATCAGTTAGGAAATATTACTATAGTTGTCTAATCAAGCACGAAATACCTGATATCAGAGTCATGTTATTCTTAGCATCAGGACTGTAAACAAAACCAATCTCTCGGGGAGGGAATGGTATATCCTGACATGCAGTGGCTGCACAGTTTGGAAGGATCGGTGGACTCCATGTTTTATTCCACAAACATTCAGCATACAACTCTTTTTGACAGTTAGTTTTGTCAGTGCAAAACTTACCATATGGTCCACAGGTATACTTGATTTTATTCTGATATGATAAACTTCCATCCCATTCCCATGTCCCAGCATCAGGCTTAGGAGGGGGACTTGAACAGTTAATACCTGCACCAAAGAATGATTTAAAAGTACATCCTATATTTAGCTTGACAAAATAAAAATCCAACATTAGGTAAAATTCTTACTTTTAACACAAACAGGCCATACAGAAGGTGTAGTAAAAGTCCCATCTGCTAAGCAGGATATATTCCATTGTCCCAAATTTTTATCCATCTCAAAAAAGTGCTCCTTATTGACGCAGGAGTATCCAGTGGCATTTCCAAAGGGAATTGGGTTGCCGTTCCAGACTGACTTCAGATTTGTCTCAGGTGGAGGCTGTATTGAGAAAATGAGAATATATGGAACTTTGTCACAATGCTATTATTCAATGCAGTAAACGTATATTTTGGATATAAATAGCTGCAATGGAACAAAAGTTAGTTACCAGTGAGAAAAAAAACGAAAGTAATAGAACATTTTAACAATTAATTGCAACCAAATTTTAAGGAGTTTTCTTGCAAGTTGGAAAAAAGAAGTACCTTTGGGGGGTAAAGACAATGAGTCCAGATACATTTATCTAGCGTATCTGCTGGTGTCCAAGTTCCATTCCAATTACAAGTTATTGTTCGTTCACTGTATAATTTCTTAGTTTTGGGGTCTTGAAATTTTCTGGCCAAGCCACATTCATACCTGAAAAAGAGCTTACAATAATTTTCATTTAATCCTTTTGCAGGGGTATATATGTTCAGTTTAAACTCCCCCCCCCCTCCCCTGGGATGGGGTGCAAAATATAAGCTTTATTATGAGGTTATATCAGGGGAGGGGGGTGAAGTGAAGGGAAAAGGTAAAAAGGGAAGGGAAAGGGTTATGCAAAAATCTCAGAACTATAAGCCACCCCTGTTTATTTGACTCTTTTATGCCACAGTTTCTTGCCTAAGATTTGATCCATAAGATCTTCTAAGGATTTGGTCTTCTGTCTCCACTTCTCTTTTTTGTCTGATATTTCCTTGAACTTTTGTCAAGTCACGTTTTTGTCGTCCCAGTTCATTGCAAACAACTAAAAAAAAACATTAATCATACTTTTTCTACAATCAAACATTTTTGATTTTTTCTTTAAAAAAATTAATTACATTTATAGAATTTTTTCAATAAAACTGCATCTTCAGACTGATCTGGAGTCAGTTTCATCTCCATAAAAATAACTTCTCTCATAGATTCATAAGTTTGTGTTGTTAACTGAGAGGGTGTAAATATTGTATCCTGTAGAGCTGCTAATAATGCACCAAGACCACACAACCCTCCTGATGGAGACCTGACTTCCCTAAAAAAAATATGGAAATTAGCTCTGTGCAACTATTTCCCCATTCAAACAAAAATCATAAAAATCTATAACTAATCAAATATGAAAGTAACCTATTTAGATGACTTACCGCTGACTTAAATCCACCAGAGTATGAATTGTTCTATTGAGCTTCTTTGACAATTTCAACAAGATCATTCTTTTATGGTCATCAACAGTTGAATTGACAAGATCATTTTCTGTTGCCCAAGAGTTTTTGACCAATAAGTCCCTTAAACATGTACTAGCAGAGGAAAGCTCTTGCCAAGGATAACAGGTAACTATAATATTATAGAAATAAAATTTTTAGAAAATTGAAATTAAATAAAGATAAATTACCACAAATGTATGAGAAACCGATTTCTAACTTTGGAGTAGTACAGTTTGTAACATAATCAGTTGAAGTTGCTTTTATTGAGCATTCAAACTAAAAAAAAGATTATCATTTAAAATTTGACATGTTATCTATTTTATTGTTGATATATTTTAATAAATATCATTGGGGAAGCAACACAAAATCTGTACGGGACCAATACCAGATGGTGAATATGAATTGTTTCGTCAGATATTGATTTAAAGAAATCATGCATTTTAATACAAATATAAATTGTTTTTTTTATCTTAAATTCACGTACAAAATAATGAGACCTAAGTATAACTTTCAACATTTTAGACATGATGGCATAAAAGATGAACTTTGCTTCTGGTTGATTATTTTATTTTAAAAAAATAGTTCACAAGTTGAAAAAAAATGAACAAACTCTTTACAGTAAGTAAGCTTTACCACATTTGTACAATTTTGTGTTATGCTAGGCTAACATAGAAACAATTTGATTAACCTTTCCATGACAGTTACTTTGGAACATGCTGGTAATGCTTGTATTTATACAATCTTGTCTTGTGCTAGCATCTTGGCCTAATAAAAAGAAAATGAAATAAAATTGAATTTATGATCTACTAACTCATTACCTTTAGTTCCATTACAGAGCTCTCTACCAGAATCCTTGTATCTACCTATGTAGGCATTCTGAACATAGACACTAAATATTGAGTGACATTTTACTGGAACAGGCTCATTATCCAGACCACAGCCCTTTTCAGGCTCAAGTCCAAATACATCTGGAAGATACTCCTGAACACCCTCAACAGGAGTTTCAGGGGGAGCAGGACAGAGAGGAGCTGAAGTAAAACATGTTTTATCCTGCAGATTTCTACATAAAATTCCAAATGTGTATCAACAATTATTATTAACATACCTTGAAGGCATCTGGGCCAATCACTGTCTGTGTCCGGAACATTGAAGAAACCTCGCTTTGAATTAGGAACTGTTCCATCCTAAGTACATGGATTAATTACTAAAATGCCCAGGGTTTTTGTTATGCTAGAGGATAATCTCTTTTGTCTATAAAGTATGTGTAATCTAATTGGTCTCTTAATTAAGTAATCCCTGCATGCTATGGCCACCACAAAGATATTGAAGAGAAATCAAATTATTCCTCTAGTCTGCTACGAAAACAAATACATGAATATTACAATCTGAGTCTTAGATCTGTCTATACCTGACAGGTATAAACAACGTCTTCCTGTGCTGGATCATCCTCAAACAGCATTCCTCGCTTACAGACATACTTTGCTTTTCCTCCAAATGGAATTGTCTCTCCAAACCAATTTGTCAATGCTAGATTAGATTCCTTTGGTGGTTCTGGAGGCCTTAGACATTCTACCCAATCACATTCCTAGCATATTAGAGGTAAAATGTTTGATTATGAGGGTGGGTGGTAAAACATAGTCCAGAGGAGGGAGCAGTGCATTTTTTGTCCCCTCCCAAAAAAAGAAATTTAATTTTTGTCTTATTGTGTAAAATTTACCAAAATATTTTGAAATGGAGTCCAAATCTTGTTCCACTGACAGGTCATTGTCATTTGTTCATAAAACCCTCCATCAGGTTTTTTGAATTTTCTAGCTGACCCACATTTATACCTTTGACAAAATAAATGCTTGAAATGTAATTCAATGTTTTAAAATTTCCATAAAAAATACTTACACAAGCGTTGTATTGAAATTTCTTGAAATAAGTGTGTTGTTAACTTCGGACGTTAAAGTTTCTGAAATGGAAGTTGTAGGAAGAGGATATTCAAAGCGCCTCACAAGTACTCTTCCATCATCTTTATTTAGAATATACTCTGGATTAGTAGGTATAACTGGAGGTATATCACACTGGATATCAACTAAACAGGTTGGCCAGTTTCCTCTTACGTCCACAAAATCATAAGTTCCATCTGGCTTACACTCCATTGAAAATGTAGATTTTGACCTATCTGACTCCCAGTACATTGTATGTGCATTATCTGATAGTCTCTTATTTCTGCATTCATATTCCTTTTTCTTGTTAATTGGTGTCCAGGCACTTGTAATTTCCTAAGAACAGTTGCCATTTATTTCAAAAGGGTTTATTTTATAAATATTACTAAAGGAATTGAGTCTTTGTCATAAAATCTGATTTTCTAATCCCTACATCTTTGCAACCAAATGTCGTTGACCTATGATATTTCAAACTATTCTGTGAGAAAATACTTTCAAACTTAGATTATTTGATTCCTCAGGTTGCAAAGATTTAGTGATTAGAAAATCTGAGTTTTTCCCAAAGAATCAATTCCTTTGAATTGTTTTAACCCCGTCAGGACAAGTTTAGCATTTTGCTTTGCTACACTGAGTATTGTTGTCATTAGTTGCAGTACATGGAAAAGGGATATGGGTCATTCCATGCCTGCAGATCACCATACTTTGTGGTCAATGTCTCCGATTTTGCTCAAAATTTTAAGGTACCTTTTTTAGGATATATTCAGGGGGGAAATGCAATTTTTTTTATTTTGACCACTGTAAAGGTCTTTTTGGCCATTTAAAAAATCGTTTTTTTTCAAGATTCAAAATTTGTAAAATTCATGAATTTTAACGTTTAAATAGAGAAAGTTATATTTTGATAAGTTTTGATGCCATATAACAATTCTTCATATTAATTTAGAAACCTATGACAATTGTCTTTTTATATTTTTGGTAACTATTGTAATTTGTATTTTTAAAATCATAAAATTATACAGGGTGTCAAAAAAGAGGTTTTTTAAAAACGGCCAAAAATTTGAAAATCATATCAACATGGACAATAATTGGGTTAAAAGCCTGATTTCCTGGGAACACTCCGTATTTTCATCATTTTTTCTCTTTTTTTTCGGTTACTTTTGTCTTGAAAATTGAGATAGAAGGCTGAAATATTGCATACAGCCTCCAATTGAGGCCATATTCAAAAGTTGTGAAGAAAATTTCTGATCAGACGTGTTTTCATATTTTTTGCAACCATATAAGTCATGTGATTACAAAAAACACTTATATCTGACCTTTATTTTGACCTCCTTATAATAATGGCCTCTAAAGAGATCAAACTATAAAAACTATGAAAATGGGTCATGTTAGGTATCAAATTACAGATTTTTTAGTGTTCTGATTCTATTCCTAGCCACCTGAACTAATTCTAAAATACCAATGAACTCCGGAGGTCAAAAATATAAAATCAATAAAAATAAGTAATGTGAGGTATTATTAAATCATAGGTTTTTTGGTGTTCTGATTCCATTCTGACGCCCCTTTTTGACCTCAAAGGATCCTCACGATTCATATGACCTCCAGATGTAAAATTAAAAAAATCAATAAAAATGAGTCTTATCAAATATCAAATCATTGTTTTGTTTGTTTTCTAAATCCAGTAAATGATCCATTTTTTCTCCAAGTGGTAAAAATATCCTGGATCTCCAACATCTGGAGGTCAAATTTTATTTTCTCTGAAAATGGGTCACATTAGGTATCAATCATTGATTATTTCCTGATTTATTGTGTTAACTCTTAACATTTGATCAATCAAGGGAGGGAGGGATGGCGACCACACCAATTTGAAATCCCCAAGTCTGCTGTGGAGAAAGTGATTGTAAAAGATTAAAATCGTCAAAAATAAAAAAATATTGCAATTTCTCCATGAATATTTTCTAAAAGATGTATCCTGAAATTTTGAGCAAAAACAGAGACATTTACCGACCACAAAGTGTGGTGATTAGGCATGGAAACCCTCATTTGAAGATAAACCAAAATTCAATTGAGTATGCATTTACAACTTTTTGGTTTATTTTCATATTCATTTTCCGTGTATTGCACCTAATAACAACTATGATCTGCTGTGAAGTTGACTAAGCAAAATACACACATCACAATCTAGCGTACATTTTCCTTCACTTGTCCTGACGACAGGGAGCCACACAATAATTTTTGTAAATATAAAAATTGAAAATTGAAAATAGAAGTAAATTTACGATGTGTAAACAATCAAAATAATTTAATATGTTGACTGTCTCTGGGGTAGCAAAATATGTTGAACTGAATTGTCTGGCTTGAGGTAAAGGTGCTTTGCTCCTTTTATTGTATATTCTACTTTATTTATTTAATACTTCTTTCATTAATCATTCATTAGTCTAATAGTCATACCTTCAGTTTTGTATCTGGAGGGATTGGGAAAGGAGTTATACAATGAGTTATCTTACAAGTAGGTAGAGTTGTTTTGTATGGGAACCAATTTTTGTTCCACTGACACCTTATATTAACTGAGATAGCATCCCCACCCTCCACTGAATCTGTATCAAATTGGGATCCATTCTTACAGAAGTATTGTATTGTAGAATTGTAGGTGTCCTGTAAAAAGATAGTTGTTGCAATGATTGATTATTATATTATTATGATGGAATATTTCTTATCTTTAACATTTAACTCTGTACGTTAAGGTTTACATATTATTCTGGAATTATTTTAAAGAATCAAATTAAAATTTTTCAAAAAATTCTCTGTATTTTTGTTTAAATAAAAAATGTTTGTTGCAAACAGATTGCATAAATTAAAAAAGTGAAAAAAATCACTGGCAAAGGGGAAATGGAATTTTTGAAAAGCATATTGAAATGAGTATCATATAGACAACTTTAATTTAATTTAATGTTAACAATATTATTTTTTCAATTTGATTCAATTGACAACCATATCTTCAATGCATTTCAAAATTTGATTTTTCACTTTTGATAGTGTTTTCCCCACGTTTTTGTTAACCCTATTCCTGCTGGGGGTGGGGGGTCAATTTGACCCCCCCTGTAGTTTTTTTTACATAGCTCAAAAAGTATTGGTCTGAAACTGTTGAAATTTTCTGACTTTTCCTACATACCCAAAGCCTTTTTCTTCAGGCCTAAAACCGGGCTTTAATACTAACTGCCTGAGTCTTCAGGCACACTGCCTGAATGACTTCTTTTTCCTGTAACAAACTAAATCTTTGTTTTGACCCACTTCCACTTGTCAGATTTTGATGAAATTTAGCTTTTTGGAAAGTCTTTGACATAAGGAAATGAATTTCTTGAGTTTTGCGAAAAAAAATTGCAAATTTTTTGCAAACAACCTGTCAAAGGAAATCTGTACATTTTTAGTTTTTCTTGATTAAAAATCAGGTTATTTAAAATTTTGCAAAAATTTTTGCATATTTGAAATGACATGGTCAAGGGCTTTTCAAAAATGTATAATTTTTCTTTTCTTGGACAAATTTTTTTTGCAAACATTTTTACTATATAACTGGATTTTGCGTTAGAAAATTCAATTTTTGCAAATTTGCAATTTTTTTTGCAGATTCTAAAAGTAGAGCACAAGAGCATTCTAATGATGTATCATTTGTCATATTTGGATATCAAACATGGGATTTAGAGGGGGGGGGGGTCAAATTGACCCCCCCCAGCATATCCTGGTTTTCAAGTACCCCAGCAGAGTTAGGGTTAAAATAAGCATTTGTATTTGCATTGTCCATTTGTAATCTGTGAAAAAATAATTCATCTTGAAAACTTCTTGGAAACTCCTTGAAGAGTAGTTTTTGGTTCTCAACAGTGATTCCCCATTTCAGAACCTAACACTTTGATGTGAGGATTCAAGTAGGCCTGGGCATATTCATTCTTTTTAAATCATAACCTTCAGTTCCGTTTGTTCCCATGAAAGAACAATTGTTTCCCGCGAACAACACCCAGCCCATGAGCTGGGCATGTTCCTACATCTTTTTAAATCACTCCCTTCTATTCGGTTTGTTCCCATGAAATAACAATCATTCCCCAGGGACAGCACCCAGCCCTAGCTGCAAGACACTTACCGAGTTTTGGGTACCCCTAATCCATGTCATATTTCCACCATCTGGTCTAGATGGGGGAGCTCCACAATTAATAGTTCGGGTACAATTCGGCCATTGTGAAGGTAGTTCATACAGTCCAGTGTCTAGGCATTTTACTGTGAAATTCGTTTTAGTTGGATCTACTTCAGAATTTTCTATAAACATGGAGGGAAGACATTCATACATAACCAACGTTCCAAATGATACAAAACTGTTTGTTATGTTATCGGTTGGAGTTAGTTTAAAATTATTTACAAGAAATGGAGCTGTATGTGAACCATTCCCAACATTAGGGTGTCCACAATGGTGAATGACACATTGCAGAGTTGTTCCATCTATGTTATATGTCTTCTTCCATTGGCATGTTGACACAACGCTAGGTGCCACGGGTACACTTACATTTGTAGTTTTGACATAACTTCTTAAATCCTTGCATTTATACTCTAGTTGAGAATTATATGTAAAGTTGAAAGGTTGAGGAGTCTTATCTGTTCTAATGAGCTCATTTGTTGATCCTGGATCTGGGCATAGTATACTTTGAGCACATTTAGGCCAAACACTGGGGATATTATATTCTCCAGTATCCAAACATTCTACAGTGATGTTATTCTGTGTTGGATCGATTTCCATATTTTCTATAAACATTCCAGTTTTACATTTGTACATAACTGTAGAACCAAAGGAAACAAAATTGTTTGTTATATTTTGAGTAACCACCAGTTCAATGTTGTTTTCTGGAGGGGGTTCTTGATGTGAACCATTTCCAATATGGGGATGTCCACAATGATGAATGACGCATTTGAGAGTTGTTCCATCTATATCATAGGTTTGTTTCCATTGGCATGTTGACACAACGCTAGGTGCCACGGGTACACTTACATTTGTAGTTTTGACATAACTTCTTAAGTCCTTGCATTTATACTCAAACTGAGAATCGTATGTGTAATTAAAAGATTGAGTCTTATTTGTTCTAATGAGCTCATTTGTTGATCCTGGATCTGGGCATATTATATCATCAACACATTCAGGCCATGGGTTAGGGTATTTAAATAACCCATCTTCACAATAAACCCTTGCTGAATTGGATGCAGAAGATCTTTTAACTGTGTCATTTTTAATGTAGAAATTAGGTTTGCAACGATATCTTAAGTAGCTACTCATCGCTACTCGTTCTTGAGCTGAGACATCATATATGTTATTAGTTGAATCAATGAATACTTTGTCATAATTTAGCTCAGTTGGTATATCTGATCCATTTACACAATATAATAGTTTACACTCCAAGTCTGATGGAGATACAGTAAAGTTTGTGTTCCAGTCACATAAACCAGGGTAAGGATCTTGTGTGTGGTTTGATCCTATCTTTTGCGGTGAATATCTTTTGTCGGCACAGATCCATCTATTCAAAATTAGTTTGTTTATGTTCAACCTTATAAAAAACCATTATCAATTTAAGTATTACCCTGTGGTATGATTGAAGGTTGTGTTCACTACTGAATTTGTTAAAATGAGATCTGTTTCCAAAGCAAAGGGATCACAGTAAGTTACTAAACAAGAAGAGAAATATGTAATGCTCCTGAGAATGGATCATACTACATATTTTAACTAACATTGATCTTATTTTTAAAAAAAAGTAAACTAATAGCATGATCACTGTTATCTAACATAAAGTCAGAACTTTTGTATTGTGAATCTCTGAATCAAGCATTGATCTCTACCTTTTTTGATCCCTATTCAATATCCCATAGTGGTAATACCTTGCAGCCTGCAGGGATAACTAAACTGTTTGGATAAATCATTGATTCTCAAATTTAAAAGTGCCCACATTGGATATCAGGATCAAGCTTCAAGATTAATGATAATCGATACAAAAGTTCGGATCACTACTTCTTAGAAATATTGATATTTTTAAGCTAAAATCTGTCAAAATCCTGGTATTTGAATTTTAAAAATATTTCAACCAGTCCATTGTTCCTATAAAATCTAAATAAGTTTTAGGGCAGATAGATACATCTTTTTTAGTTTTACTTTTCCAGAGGTCTTTTGAGGAGAAGATTTAAAAGAATTACATTAAATTAAACCATAAATGATATACCATTTAAACATGTTGGCCAGGATGGTGTTGAAAAAGTGTTGTTTGGGAGACAAGTAAGATTGTATGTATCTATAGAGAAGTTGGATTCCAATTTGTTAAAACCTCCAGCATTGCATCTATAAATAGGAATGGGTAATTTCACTTTATAGAAAAACAACTTTATCATTTTGTTAACAGAAACTGATTTAAACAAATCAACACCCCTTTATTGTATAGATTTCTAAAACAAGTTTGCCATTAAACCCTGTTTGTAATGATCACTTTTACTAAAATTTTTCTAAGATTTAATTTCACATATTTGCAAAGCATAATGTATATGATCTTATTTTCGATTCATTCTTTTGTCAAATCTTCAAAAATAACTATCAACTCCAACACATGTATTCAGCCAGCCTAATTTTATAAAATGCGTTAGGTCCACTAAATACTAGGCTCACTGGACAGGCTGGTACAACTGATGAGTAAATGTGTAAGTGGTATGATCATCCTCAACAAAGCTTTTTGTGTGTGTTGCAGTGATTTGCAGAACACTGACCAAAGAAATCTTGGCTTAAGTGGATCGTTACATCCTCAACATGGGTTGGATTCACACACAGCCATATAACTACTGTGAAAGTTGGATGATTAATCATGTAATCTGTGTTTTACCTATATGTTACAGTTTGGTTATGAGAAGGGGGGAAATTTTTGTTCCATCTTAAAACCAGGTTACTGGATTCGTCTGGGGTAGGAGGATTAACACATTTTTCCCCTGGTAAATGTTAAAATTAATCTAAAAATGATTTAGTATAAATATAAGAGTAATGGAAGTAAGGAAATTACTTACACTCGCATGGATGTGGTATTGATGTTGATGTCCAATTTTTATCACTTTGACATGTGGTGTAAAAGGTAGGATAGAAAGATCCATTTTCGCGCTGGAATGCTTTCCCAAACTCTTTACACTGGTGTCTACAAGATATTTTGATAATAATAATAACGTTTTTATTAATTTTGTGGGTCCAGAGAAAAGGGTAATTTATAACAACTCTGCTCTTAACCCTATTCCTGTAGTTTTTTTTACATAACTGAAAAAGTATTGGTCTGAGGCTGTTGAAATTTTCTGACTTTTCTTACATACCCAAAGCCCTCCCTTTAGGCCTAAAAACAAAGCTTGAAAGGGCATGGTTGTAATTCCACCATTGTCATCTTACACTTGAGATTATGCTTACAGTCCCTTTAACCCTATTCTTGCTGGGGGGAGGGGGTCAATTTGTATATTTTTTTTATTTAACTCAAACAGTATTTGTCTCAGGCTGTTGAAATTTTCTGACTTTTCCTAAATATCCATAGCCCTCCCTTTAAGTGGTTTTTTACACTGAATGCCCGAGTCCTTTAGGAGGCACACTGCTTAAATGACTACTTTTTCCTGTAACAAACTAAATCTATGTTTTGACCCACCCACTTTCAGTTGTTATATTTTGATAATTTTTAGCTTTTTGGAAATCTTATGACATAAAGAAACGAAATGCACAAGTTTGCAAAGAAAATTAAAAAATGGGAAGGGTAAGGGCTTTTCAAAAATGTATATTTTATCATTTTTTTTTTGCAGACATTTTAACTATAATATAATTGGATTTTGCAAATTTGCACATTTTTTGACAGATTTTAAAAGTAGTGCACAAGAGCTTTCCAATACTGTATCATTTGTTATATTTGGACATGAAACACCCCCCCCCCAGCATATCCTGGTTTTCAAATACCCCAGCAGGGATAGGGTTTTTAGCTTCATTAGAAAGATGTCAGGTACTTTCTTCAAAGGCATTTTCCCAAGCGGGAACTCTCCAAGGGTATTTTCTTTAGTGGCAACTTCCCAAATGTGCATATCCCAAGCAGTGACTTCCCAAGTCCGTCCTAGCCACAAAGCTTGGTGCATTATTGTGTTCTATCCACAGCGCTTGGCCCCCCTAGTCCATTCTAGCCACAGTGCTCAGCCCCATTGCAGCATGGGCGCCTGAAAGGGAATTTGTCACTTGGGAAGTCACCCTGGGTAAATGCTTTCGGGAAAATACATAACATCATTAAAAAAACTCCTCCTTATCAACAAATTAAGACAACTTACGGTATTGATATTTCGTAGTAAACACTTGTTTTATCCCAGTTAACAGTTTTAACATCAGGTCTGGTATTGATTAAGTCAGGAAGTTCTCCAATAGTGCAATTGATTCCTATTTAATATAAAGGTTATGAAATGATTAATTGATTAATTGAGCTTAATTCATCTATCAACGATTAACAATTATCAGTGAATCGAAGTTTAAAAGAGAAAATGTTATAAAACCTTGAAAATTTTGGAAATAATCATGCAACCTTGTTAGGTTAATTCAATAAATGTTTCCCGATATTCAAAAAAAAATATTTTTAGACCAAAATGAACCAGGATTTGAGTGTTGGCATCTATATCTAAACAATGTTTTATTTTGAGATACCCTAAGTCCCAACTCCAAACCTTTTTGCTAAACTAGATTAAATTTGAATTACCCAACGAATAGCAAAACTGCACGTGAAACATTTTATTGAAATAATGGTGTAATACATTTTTACATTTTGCGGAATTTTTGTTAAGATGTAAAACTTTCATATTTCATTTGCTCAAATCTTTTTAAAGATTGTAAAAATTCCAAAAACTGACAGAGAAATATAGCTCTTTAAAAATTGTTGAAGTTAATGGGACACTCTTATAGTTTGAAATATCAAAGGTCAATTACATCAGGTTTATTTTAAAACAGAAACATGAAACTAATCAATATTTCAGAAATTTATAGATTTAAAGCATTGAACAAGTTTTCATTTAGCAGATAGTTTTAGGCTTTAGATTAAACATTGTGCTTTAAACCTTAAAGAAAATTACATTAAAAGTTATGGATATGGCATGGATATTGGCCCTATAAAGACAGGGGTCTGAATCTTTGTATAGTCTGGGGATGCCAGAAAGGATTTAAAAAAAAATAGTTTTGTTTTAGACAAATATCACGATGTGACACATGTTTTTACATCAAAAATATAGTTTTTAGATTTGTAGCTTTAGTCAGAAAAAAGTGAATTAGAACCGTACTTTATACCGACCTGTACCCTTCCATGTGAAATTGAAAAAGTCTTTTTGAAAATCCTTTAAATTTCTATTCATTACAAGTAAAAAAATGTCATGGTTTGTCAAAACTGAGAGTGCTAGGGTAAAAAAACTGGAGGGGAGTGGGGCCATCCTGTTTATGGTTAAAAGATTAAAATTAATTTTGACCAGTTTGATTTTGAGGATTATTGATAAGTATGAAATGCTTACTATGACAATATCGAGGAATTTCATAAACATATTTCCAGCGAGCAGCGTCTGATCCTCCCAACCACTCAACACATTCAACTTCTCGTTCATGCACAAGGTCAAGATTTGCTCCGGTCTGCCGTTTTCTACGACCGGCAGCTTAAATTTAAAAAAGATGTTATAGAGAGATTGGGTAAAAATTAGTAACATTTTAAATTCAAAATTGGATTTTAATTTAAAGACACATAATACATTTTAATAGTTATTACTGTTAGTCTGTGGACCTACCGTTACATACTGGGTTTGTTCCAGATACCCATCCAGTGGATTTGTCAATACATGTTGGTACAGGATCTCCAGGTGGATTATATTCTCTAGATTTGTCTCTGGGCTCAGTTTCTCCCGTTTTTTGGTAAATCCAGAAGTTTCCCTCTCTAAATGTGTATATTATACAATATGTATACTGTGGTTACAGGACTAAAGTAAAGCAACTATAGTTGTTTCAATAGTTTGTTCAACAAAATTGGTCATTCAATTTTTTCTCTTCTTTAAAACATGCTCAATTTTTTGGCAAAAACGATGCCCATCTCTAGCAACCCAAACCTTAACAATTGTAAGAATCCAGAACAACCATTAATGACAACATTTTGGAACAAATGATTTTGAATGGAATAAGCAATCCAGCTTATTATTATTTTGTCTTGACAATGTGCAGACTAAGTGCTCACCTAAGATTGTTGACATGAAAATCAGCTAAATAAAAGAAATAACAGCTATTCGGTAACTTTATTGAATTACTTGAAATATGAAAGTTTAAAAATAGTTTCCTGTAGTAGGATTATCTTAAGTAGTTGGAAAATAAAAAAAGGTATTATTGATGGATCATGGTGATAAAGATCACAGGGAACAGATGGAGCTTTATGTTGGTGGTAAGCAGGTCAGCAATATCTTGACGGCAGGTTTGCTCACATCTAGGCCTCAGTCCCGGGAGGAGATTGCAGTTCCATCATTGGTGCTGAGGTTAAGGACTCTGACAGCTCAGGGCACTATTAGATTGGTATCATTGGTGCTAGCAGCATGAGGACTTCGTCAGCTTTTAGGTTACACGATAAGTTTTAGAACATAGTTGTCTTAGATGTTAGCATTGGATGCAAGGCTAGATATCTGTAGCTCCATGAAGGAGTCAGGAGGGTTGGAGATGTTAGTGTTCCTATACTGATACCCTAAATAACTGCCCATACCCCTCCCAATAGGCAGAGAATGTGGGGGGGGAGTAGTAACGCTAATTCCACATTGATGAACTGGAAAAGGATTTCTGTATCGAGAATATTATGCGGTCGATTGTAATACACAGGGTTCACCAAGGATTGTCTTCCTTATAGTTTGAATTTGTTTTAACAAGGATAGCTTCCCTTTTATTTATGCAATATGAACTGTTGTATACGTGTATAAATGCGTAAAGTTCAATTCAGTCAGTTTTAAGTTCTCTTTCTACCAGTACTGGCTCATTTGCGAACTATCCAGGAGGAGAAGGTCAAATGCAATTGACATAACTGACAACACTAAATTACTGCTTCTACTTTGTGGCTCCGTTGCTCCTCTAGTTCTGATTTTACGCACAATGTTTGAATTTAATGAATGAATAATAATCCCTCAAAAACCGGTTTCAATTGAGCACCGGCTTCAATATTGAAAAATTTAATACAATTGTAAGTGGAACGAACCATACTTGAGCTGCGGCTTAAATTTAAACTGTGGCTCAAATTATCTAAACTCGGCCACAAATGAAAGAAATGAAAATGTATTCGGTTACGTATTATGAAATGAAAAGTTTTCTTGTTTTTCTCAATAGCTGTTCAAAAAGAGGAGTTGGGATAAAAATGTAAGATATCAATCTTACGTGAATTTTTCTACTTTAATTTAATGCACATTGATTGGCTGACACGGGCCACGGCCCACAAAAGCTAGACTCAATATTTTGTTAAACTGTAACAAACAACACTATTATTATAATACAAATGTTTTCAACAGAATCTCTGCATATTATCTCCAAATTTTCGATAATTTACCTGTAAAACCTGTGTTTGTCATCATTAACTTTAGTGTAGGCATTTAAGTCAGGCCTTACTTCTGCATCCATTAAATCTGGTACACCATCTTTGCCGTATTTTTCCCACACCTTTAATTGGGAACAACAGCCTAAATTAATTTCAAGTCATGTTAACATTATTTGTATATAATCGAGCACGTAAGAACTATTCATCACTGAAAATCAAAGAGAAAAAAGTCCAAATCACAAACTGGGGAACAAACATGAATTCGTAGGTATTGTAAGGGGGGTTCAAGATAGGACACTAACCCTGTAATGTAAATGAACCCCACAAACAAAGATGGCTAGGACAGTCAAAGAGGGCCCAATCTGCAATGATTCAGTACGGAGAGTTCTAACAATACCAGGATAGCATGAAATTGCTCATTCATTCGAAATAAATATTTTTTTGCACGAAATTGCTGATGAATACATAATTAAAGTCAAAATTTTTGCATGATTTTGCGAATGAATTCGAAGAAAAGTAATATTTGTTTCAGACATATTGCTCAATTATGTAATGTATATAAAATATTTAAATATTTGGAAAGTATGATGTGAATTAGTTTCAGTAAAAAATAACTTCCATATCTGCAGTATTTTATTTATGACCAATGATTTCATTATTTTCATCTTCTTTAGTTTGACATGGTAAGAATGTTGGTTACATTTCTCTTATTTGAATGTCTGTTTGTTTGTTACCTATCTCCATCAGCTGTACCAAATTGTCTTAAAATTAAATGGTGACTTACATATCACCGCCAAAGGATTGGGTGAGATTGGGCCGGAGGAAAGAGTTGGGCTCTGATTGGTCTAATTTTGGATTCATTCATTTGTTGGAATTGTTTATCAAAATTTAGCGAAATAGCTTGAAATAAGAAATAGCAGGAATAACAAAATGCGCAAAAACCAAGATTTTCTTCATAATTTGCGTGCAATAGCTTTTGCACATCAATGTGAAATTATATCAAAAGGAATTGAGTTTTTGCCACAAACTTTAATTTTCTAATCCTTATATTTTTTAAACCTAATGGTGTAAACCTTTGATATTTCAAACTTAGATTATTTGATCTAACAGAATTCATAGTTTGAAATATCTCAGGTCCACTACATTGGATTGCAAAGATATATTATTAAATCAAAGTTTGTGGCTAAGACTCAACTCCTTTGGTGCAATTTTTACTCGAAACGTAAGAGAATCTTTTCGCATTTATTGCACGATTTTCGTGCAAAAACTTTCGATTGGAAACCCTAGGTCTGAGCACTAAGCTCACAACAAGTGATTTAGTGCTCAAGGATTCAGAAATGGTTTTGTGACCGAAAAGGAACAGGACTAATAATTAATAAAAACTAATACTAAACTAACCATATTTACAACTCATTATTTAGATCATATAAAGAAAATGGAATTTCAGCCTGGGGAAGAAACAAATATTTGAAATGAGAGCAATTCACATTTTGAAGAAACGCGCAATAAGATTAATTGATAACTCAAAAGCCATACCTCATAGTGATCCACTATTCCTCTAGTATAAGATTCTAAAGGTTAATGACATGGCAAGCTAAAGATTCAGTGCCAAAAAAAGAGGTAAGACTCAGAACCAATCATGGGTAGGGATTGTAACGTTTTGATTTTTCAGAAAAACGATCGTTTCATTATGAAAACAACGACAAAAAATCGAAAACGAAACGATCGTTCTTAAAAACGACCCTTCATTAACGATCGTTAACATAATTGTCAATAAAAATTTTTTTCAAAAAGGATCGTTTTTAAAAACAATTGTATAAAAAACGGTCGCAAATCGTTTTAAAAAAACGATCGTTTTCAAAAACGATCGTTTTCAAAAACGATCGTTATTTGTTTTCTAAAAGTTCAAAATGAAAGGGTTGTTTTTAAAAACTATCGTTTTTTTCCGAAAACGAAACGATCGTTTTTGAAAACGAAACAAAAAAAACGATCGCTTAACAATTGTTTACAAAAACGATTAGCAACCCTAATCATGGGTTATAACTTGATGCCAGTCAGGGGTAAATACTCAGTGCCAGTCAGGGGTTAAGACTCAGTGCCAATCAAGAGATAAGATTCAATACCAATCATGGTTTATAACTCTTTTTAACTCAGTGCCAATCAGGGGTAAATACTCAGAAAGTTTAGCTAGAATGAATCTTTTGTATTTTGGTAATTTGTTGGGACCTGAACATTACTAATTTCAAAATCATTAAACGAAATAATATCAAACAGAGAGGTTGCCAAAGAAAATAATCTGGTGATATATGATGCATATGTAATACACTTCTGGTAAAAGAAATTAAAGGGAGTTCCTACTGAATACTTGTTTGTGATTCATACCAATTAAGGAATTAGTTGTAGTTGTTGTTGTTGTTGTTGTTGTTGTTGTTGTGGTTAAAACTTGCAATAAAGTGGTTAGAATTGGTGCAGCTGTTGTTGTAGGAGCTACGGTTGTTGTAGGAGTTCCTGTTGTTACTTGAGCTGCTGTTGTTACTGGAGTTGCTGTTGTTTGACCTGTTGTCAGTACTTCAGTTGTTACAGTAATATTTTCTGCATAGTCAATGAATAACATCTATTCTTAATTAAGTTGACTCAATTCTCAAGTAGTGAAGCAATTAAATTACGCACTGTAAATGTAGTCTCCATATTTCTATTATGATGTTTCTGATTTTTTGTTATTCAATATTCCTATGTATTCAAATCCTTCATGGCAGGTGAACTTCACTACTTGACCTATTTCATTCCCCATTGAAGAATTTGTTTTAGAAGATCTAAATACAATGTTTCCGGTGAAGTGAAGCAATATGAAGGGAAACTAAACTGAAAACTATAGATTGGTGGACATGCTTGATATGTTTTGGATTAATGTTTATTTAGACTTAACATTGAGAAGAGAGAATTGAGAAGAAAATATTAAGTGAGTACATTGGGATTAAGGATCCCATTCTAAAGTTGACTAAAGTCATCTAAATTCTTAAATCTTGCAACTTTATTTCATAGACCTTTCATATTTCTTGTAATAAATTCCAGCCTGATTTAATAGCCAATTGCTTGAAATCAAAGGTGCAAAAATAAGGTTCACTGTTGTTTCTGCAGTAGAATTAAATATTTTCATTTACCGTTCTAAGGATTCATCTCTAATTGGATGATGAGAAAGATAAAAGATAGATGATACTGCCATGCAATTTCAATTGGTTCAGAAAAGACACACATTTTTGTTTGTTCTACAATGTGTATAAAGAGAAAATGTTTACAACTGAAATAGAAGATGGGCCCAAAGCGCCTTTAAGCCTGGCATGTTAAAAGATATATTTCACTGAATTAACAGATTCTTAATGTAAATAAAAAAATGTTTAAGCTAACCCTTTTTTTGTTTGTTCTACAATGTGTATAAAGAGAAAATGTTCACAACTGAAATAGAAGATGGGCCCAAAGCGCCTTTAAGCTTAGCATACTAAAAGATATATTTCACTGAATTAACAGATTCTTAATGTAAATAAAAAAATGTTTAAGCTAACCCTTTTTTTGTTTGTTCTACAATGTGTATAAAGAGAAAATGTTCACAACTGAAATAGAAGATGGGCCCAAAGCGCCTTTAAGCTTAGCATACTAAAAGATATATTTCACTGAATTAACAGATTCTTAATGTAAATAAAAAAATGTTTAAGCTAACCCTTTTTTTGTTTGTTCTACAATGTGTATAAAGAGAAAATGTTCACAACTGAAATAGAAGATGGGCCCAAAGCGCCTTTAAGCTTAGCATACTAAAAGATATATTTCACTGAATTAACAGATTCTTAATGTAAATAAAAAAATGTTTAAGCTAACCCTGTTCAGAAAAAAAAAAATGAGCAAGCCCTGAAAGAAAATAGTGTAATGGGCTGGAAATGACTTGTGCAGTTAACATTTTAACACAATTTGTACATCTTTGTTAATTACAATTCAGTTTTTGTTTCGATTCCTTAGGACAATTTTTAGAACGAAGGCCAAATATTAAGCAAATTAATTTTTTCCGCCCTCAAAAAATGAAAAAAATATTACCTGACTGGAGTTAAAGGGAGGTCTCTGTCAAGACAATAAGCTAGAAAAAATAGCATTTAAATCATTAGAAAACTAAAGTTATATTTATTACAGTTTGGGCAAAAACAGTTGTCTAAGAAATAAACTTTTAATATAAGTGATGTTTATGTATGTTAGAGATTGTAAAGAATATTTTTTAAAATAAACCTGAGATGAATGAAATGAAGAAATTAGAAAGATTAATGGCCTAAACATTATAAAAAATGGCTGTGCAATTTAAGAAGTATAGAAATTAGCCATAGGGAAAAAAGAAAAAGTGTACTATTTCTCTTTTCAAATTCAAGCCCATTCTAGTTCTCATAGATAAAGTTAGATATCTAAATTTTAGGGGGGGGGGGGTAACTCCTTTACAAGCCTAGGATGGAACAATGCGGAATGACCCCCCTCACCCTGCATACACACTTGATTCTATATATTTTACATGTCAGATACATTGTGTCAAATATACTTACGTTTGCAGTCCGATACTGGATAGGTTTCATTGAAGTCCCAGTAGGGTTGAATAGTATCTCCAGGTTGGTAGGTGCAGTTCCCATACCCTGTTGGTGTCCAGGTTCCATTTTTCCCCTAGAGAAGAACGATAAATTAAAAATTGTAAATGAGGGTTTTCAAAATATGCCTCTTTTATTGGTTTAAACTTCAACCAAATTAATTTAGTATATTTTATTTTATACATAATCAAGGATAAAAAATGGTCAACATTATAGAATGTGAAATAATTTGACAGTCGGTTCTTCCCTCTTATCTCATACCTTAAAAGCATTTCCTGGAGGACAACTGTAGAGAATTCCACTACCAAAGATTTTAGTGACTCCATTCCAATTATGAGTTATCTGTTTTTAGAATATTAGAAGAATTTGTCAAATTTGGTTGATCATGATTCTTTGGAAAATGATGCTGCGCTCCCGTACTCATATAACCCATTTTTATGATGTAAATTTCATTATTTTACAGAACTTTAACTTAAAACTCTTGCATTCCTTGGTTTTGGACTCTGGATAATATTTAAAAAAAAAATAAAACATGTGAAATCTTCAATTGTCAAAAGTTAAATTATTACAAGAAACACCCTGGAAACATATCTTACATAGTTTCTTTCAATATAATAATCTAAAGAAAATTACAGATAATGATCATATATTCTTTCCTTATTACTGGTTAGACTTGGTGGCTCCTTACAGGTCAATGCTATAACATAACAATCATTTAAATTTGAAAGAACTAATTAATAAATATGTTTTAGACCTCTGTAAGAATTTAAAGCGCAGACAAAGAAAATAGGTTTTTGCCACAAACTTAAATTTGTTTGTCCCTATATATTTGAAACCCAATGTTGTAAGCCTAATAAGATAATGTGAACCCAACCAAGGGTTCTCCAATGTGTACATAGTATTGTACAGTTCATTACTCCCAGTCCGGGAAATAATGCCTAACAAATACAATCCAAGAATATAGCCAAACAATCCAAACCCAGCCCAAGAGGGGTATTGAAGCCCGAGTATGTTGCAGCCAGAGTATGTGACAGGATAGGCCAAGGAGGGTACTTAACCCCTTTTCTTATCTGGAGAAATCAAGTCAGTCCTGTTTAAAGAGTGGTTTAAAGGGTGGATTGATGCTGGAGAAAGGAGTGAAACATGGCATTTATCTAGCCAGAGAAGAAAGCAGTAACGTCGGCCATCTTATACCTGGGATCCCCCCAAAAACCTCGGTAGTTGAATGGAAATATATATTTGCCCCAGGCAAATATCATGTGTATTTATATCAACTTTAGTTCTTCCAACACTAATCGTTGGTTTCGTTATAATGTAAAAATAGTTTGTGTGCAGCATTGCTTTCTTATTCCACACAATCTTGACTTTTTACTGCTGAGATCTTTTCAAATAACTATGAATTCTGACAGATCAAAAAGTCTAAATTTGAAATATCAAATGTTAACACCTTAAGGTTGCTTAAATATAAGGACAACAAAAGTAAAAAATGGAAATGTAAAAAATCTTTTTTACATTCTCAATACAAACAAGGTGATTATGTTCGTCTCTTTACAGTCTTTTACTTAATTTTATTTAACTAAAAAACTTTCTTGGCTAGAAAACATTAAAATAAGGTATTATATGTTAAACATTTGCATTAAAAAAAACTAGTTTCATCCTTATTAATAGCGGATCAAAATCAAAAAGTCTTACGGAAGCATATGGACGGAGTGCCAAAGTCAGCTTTTCTGTTCCCCATACAGCTAAACTCCTGAGCAGGATTGGAGCTGTTCTCCAGAGCCCAGCCACTCCTTAATAGTCAAAATCAAACAACAAGCAGTTATTAGCCTCTAAAGGGGGTATATTTTTGGGTAAAATTCATAAACCACAATTTCTAGTAAAGTTAGTAAATTAAGCAAAAACTGCAGCTTCTCTTTTCATCCAAATTTTTGTGTTTCCCTGCTGTTTTTAAGCTTGATACAAAACATAATTGTATCCCTTCTGTTTGAAGCTTGACACAAATCAGTATTGTATCCCTGCTGTTTAAAGCTTGATACAAAACAAATTGTATCCCTGCTGTTTTAAAGCTTGATACAAAACAGAATTGTATCCCTGCTATTTAAAGCTTAATACAAAGCAGAATTGTATCCCTGCTGTTTTAAAGCTTGATACAAAACAGAATTGTATCCCTGCTGTTTAAAGCTTGATACAAAACAGAATTGTATCCCTGCTGTTTGAAGCTTGATACAAATCAGTATTGTATCCCTGCTGTTTAAAGCCTGATACAAATCAGTATTGTATCCCTGCTGTTTAAAGCTTGATACAAATCAGAATTGTATCCCTGCTGTTTAAAACTTGATACAAATCAAAATTGTATCCCTGCTGTTTTAAAGCTTGATAGAAAACAGAATTGTATCCCTGCTGTTTTAAAGCTTGATACAAAACAGAATTGTATCCCTGCTATTTAAGCTTGATACAAAACAGAATTGTATCCCCGCTGTTTAAAGCTTGATACAAAACAGAATTGTATCCCTGCTGTTTGAAGCTTGATACAAATCAGTATTGTATCCCTGCTGTTTAAAGCGTGATACAAATCAGAATTGTATCCCTGCTGTTTAAAACTTGATACAAATCAAAATTGTATCCCTGCTGTTTTAAAGCTTGATACAAAACAGAATTGTATCCCTGCTGTTTGAAGCTTGACACAAATCAGTATCCCTGCTGTTAAAACCTTGACACAAATCAGAATTGTATCCCTGCTGATCTAAAGCTTGATACAAATCAAAATTGAAATCGAAAGTCGTCTTTATTATATTGGTAGCTGAATTACTGAATTAGGTTTTTAGAGAAATTAAAAACATGATTGTTACAATGCAAGGCGAATACAAATATCAATAAGAGGCTATACGTTATACAATATACATGCATGATGAAGACCCATTATTATTCTTAATCCCGAAGCTTCAAAAGTAACTTACCTCCCCTTATAGGGAGAGACCGGCTAGACATGGTAGTTGAGCTGAAAGTGCAGGAAAAACTTTAGGATTCATTTGATACCAATGAAACATTTTTACGGTGTACAATTTTTAAATAAGAGCCTTTAAAAGTCGGTATCAAATAAATCCTAAAGTTTTCTACAATACTGCACTTTCAGCTCAACTACCATGTTTATGGATGTTTCTACAATACAAGATAAAAACTCTTGATTTGAAATATTTCTTTTATGTAAGTAAAAACCTGCAAACATATCGCTGTACAGATCCAGGTATTCTATGATAACGACTGAATTCTGATGGCGCTGTTGTTATATACATAAAACCATTACCTGAAGATAAAAACATGATCATTACAATTAGGGTCAATATTACTCCGAATATTACTCTCCCCTCTGCCACTTCCCCCTCCTTATATATTTTAACAATGAATTTGTGGGTCACTGCGCTGCCTACCACAGATTCAAAGTTGAATTTACAACTCAAATCCTTCCTGTGTCTGAATTTAATAAATTTGAGCCCCGTCTCAAATCCGCCAAAAACCGGTTTCAATAGAGCACCGGCATGAAATCTTAAAAAACTTAAATACAATTTTAAGTGGAATCAACCATATTTGAGCCGCCTCACAAATTCCTTAAATTCTGCCTCTGAATCTTTAACTTTAATCCAGCAGTTGGTAGGTTCAGCGATGGATGGAGGTAACCCCTGGCTGCCATGAGCCTCCACTATGCAGAAACAAGCCTCTTCACTATAAATCACAGCTACTTTATATCTGGTTTTTACATGTAACAAAGGAGTAGAGTGTCCCAGTAAATACTGGTTTCGACAATTTTTATTTTCATAGTGACATGAGAGGTTTATCAAAGATCAGAAGTATTTATTATTTATTTTAAATAGTGTCTAAATTCTAATTATGACTTATTAAGCGTTTAAAAAAAAACTTTTAATGCAAAATTTTGTATTGTTTGATTTAAGCCAATTATTTAAGATTTTTATCCAATAAAGATAGTTAAAATTTTAACATTGTATCTTAATCTAAACAAAATTTAAAAAATGTTAAAGCTTAAATCAAAGATTAAAACAAAATAAACTAAGTTCAATTTAGATATGAATTTTCAAATAGCCTTCTTTTATTATAAAACATAGTTACAAATCACTACAATCAATAAACAACTCTAATCTTTGGTAAACTCTTTGTGCCACTATGCGGAGACATATACTGCATAGCAAATCAGTGCTTGGTTCTGCATAGGGTTATAGGCTCATGGTGGCCGGGAGGTTCCCTCTCTCAGGGACGTAGCCCAAAATCAGGTCCAGGTCAGGTTAGGTTTCTACACAAGGTTCCCAACAAACATGAGGAGGTAGGGGGTCCAAATCACTTAAATGTTATCTTTAATGCAGATACATATGTCACAATATATTACCATGTTATATGTAGAATTTGTTTGGGTTTTATTTATTAAGAAATTAGTGAGAATAAACTAAATATTTCTAATTTCTTATTTAAAATTTATTACTGTTAACTCTTAAAAATAGTATGTTGCTAACATTAATTTGTTTTTTAATAACAGTTAGTTTGGGTTGGAGATTTTTGGAAATTAAATTTTCTTCTTTAGCTAATTATTTCAAGTTTTAAATTTTACCTAAAGTTCTATTTGAATATGTATAGATATAGTCAGCTAATTCATCGCACTCTCGGCTCCATCTATAACAATGAATAAATATAACAATAATGATATGTTATAACAAAGAATAAGTCCTGATAAAACCTAGAGTGTTAACAATGAAACCGATTAGCACTTACCTTCTATACACACGATAAGGATATACTTGATTGTTGGTGTAGTCGGAATTCAGGCAAAACTGATTTGGTCTAAATTTAGAACATTGCTATATCTTTGAAGGGAGATGTTAGTAAAACTAATAAGGGAGTTAGTTAGGTTAATATCTATCATCAAAACCAGAAGATCCCTAACAAGCTTAATACTTCTTAATATTCTGTAAAGAAAAATGACCTAAAACTAAATAAAATGGCACTGCACAGTTTACCACACGTACCGCAACTTCCCAATCCCAGTGCTTGCCCCCTGCACCCCAAAACTACTTTCATAACACAATAAATATTTACAGTTAACTTTACAAACGGCAATTTTACGAATTAACTTTTAATTGGGGGGTTGGGTTAAAAACTGGGGAGCATGGTTTGATATTTGGAAGAGCAGGTGGATGGACGAACGCCCTCTAATTGTTTTGACTTAGCATTTTATTATTTTTAACACCTAAAAAATTTGTTCACTTTTAGGAATAGTATTTTAAAGGATTTTTTGAAAACATTTTTTTAATTGGAAAGGTACACTGTATAGAAAATAATAAAAAAATTATATTACCCATTAGGTCTGTTTGATACACTTTGATTCAGAGTACGATAACAGTTCTCCATGAAGAATTTCCAAATCAAATTGCCACAGTGGTAATTTCTATTTTGGATCTCTGGCCCACATCTTTGAACATGTCTTAAACAATGCGCAGTGACAACATCTCCCATCTCAGGACACCAGTAGTCATCTTTACCTTGACGCAGTCCTGGTTCTGTTGTTGAGGAATACTGAACAAATATAAGTTAACATCTTCAGGAATTATAAAAGTTGTAGTGTTGTAGTATTGTATAGATTGAATTGGGATAAGAAAAGTTTTTGAATTCTTTCAGATAAAATATTCTATTATGAATCATAAATATAAGATTTAAATAGACATATTGCTACCTGATTAACTATAGTCCAAAATGCTTGTTCCAAATTTGGGAAGTTTGTCAGTGAATTAGGTATCTGAGTGTTATTTCCCAAAGGATATGTGTAAGTAACAGTGGGAGAATAAACATAACTGTTTACAATGGTATTAATGTTCAATCCCAGAAAATATGCCATGTACACTGTAATAACATTTATGACACGATCAACATTGCATATGTTTACTATGGTTGTATTAGAAGGTACATCAGGAGTTTTTAGTTCATCTGTACTTGTAGTCAGGTATTCTAAAAGCGCTGTATTTGCATCCGCTAAAGCTACTTTAGGCCCAGTATCACAGATTGTTGAAAATGAAGGATCAGATGTCTGTTTATCAATATTTCCAAGAATAACTGATAAATCTCTAGATAAACATTTGCACTTAAAGTAGTTGGTTTTCAGTCTACGTGCAGCAAAATATACTCTTCCATTTTGATCCGCACCATTGCATTGATATGTACACGACTCAGGGGTAGCATAATTATACTCAGGTGATGTGTCATCTATAAGTAGAGAAAATTTAGTGAATACAGCTTCAGAATCAGAACTATGTTTAATTTTTCTACCTGTAAGGGCATAGACTCCAATATAGGTAGAGCTCCATCCATCCTGTCCAACCTTGGCTTTATCATAATCATAAAACCCTCCTGAAAAATATTTTCAAAACATTAATAATTTGTTTAACAGAATTGTTACATGCAAGAGTTTTTTTTCTTTACCTACAAAATCAAAGAAGAGTTTCTCTGGTCCTGCAGTTTTCTTTACTCTCACACGGCTTGCAACAAAGGACATCAAATAGTTTGGATCGTTAGAATCAGAAAAGTAAATGATACCATTACTGTCCATTTTAGCAGGTGTAAATGTAGTTTCCCATCTTTCTTCCTCCGAAGAATTTTTTCGTCTTGGACTGATCCAGTCTGGGTTACTGAAATTAAGTAAATCAGTATCATTCTTAGTTAAGATAAGTAAGATCTCATATATACCTGTGACTGTATTGAACATCTTTGTAATATCCAATAGAAATTTCCATTGAAATATCGGAGGTAAACTCAGTTTTATTAAAATATATTCCCCAAATCATGCCTGACCTCTGCTTAAGGTCAAATATTATTGTATCACCATAAGAAAAATCCCAGGAGAATCTAGATCTAGGATAGTCCAGCTCAGGATATTCATACAGTTTCACATTAGATAATTTCCCCTAAAAATACACAAGATTGATGAATCTAAAATCTGCTATTTTAGAATATTTAACCTGTGTCACTCTTATGGACTTAGAACTATCTTTCTCTATAGAGTCCTTGTCAGACATCATCAGGGCACTTTAAAAATTAAAAGTTGTTTTAAAATCAAGATATTTCTGTAGACCTCTGTTTTGTTTTACGCTGCAATTTGTGCTTCTTGTGTATATCAACATTTTTACTGCACAAATTGTGTTACAAGTTTGTCCAATGTACATTTAAAACTTTTTCAATATGAGTGCAAAAAGTTTCAAAATTGAATTCTTTTCGGCAAAATGCAAGTGAAAGTAGTTTATGAACAGGAACCCTTCCTCCCCCCCCAGAATACAGTAAAGATTGGCTTTTCAGTAAAAGTACAAGTGTTTTATTGAAAAGCATTGAGAATCTTAAGGTTTCCAATAATTGAAAAAAGTTTATTGTAAAGAATGAAACAGTAAGGATCTTTGTAATCTCCAATGAAACTATTTTCATTTCTGATGAAAGCTTTGATAAAGAACTGCGGCCCGGGTCTACAATTAAACTCTTTCAATTCAAAATTTAAAATTAGAATGTCTGATGAAAATCTAACCAAAATTTATTAAACAAAACAAATGTTAACTTGGTGTTTCAAACTTTACTGGCTTAAGAAGATAAGTTGAAAATTGAAATATTTTCGTACAATTCAAACCAAATTATTGCAATCATTTTAACTACATATATGGTGGTAAGCAAATTCCAATTAATTTTTAAGTTTTAGGAAAACTACCTTTGAGCAAATTTCTCATTAGACTGCCCTACTGACCCTGATGGCTGGGAGAGGTCACAGTACACACTGAATTTTTTTTGAAAAACTGTAGCTTAAATATTTAGTTTAATATCTTGGTACATTGCTAACAAAGGAATTGAGTCTTTGCCACAAACTCAAAATTTTTAATCCCTATATCTTTGCAACCAAATGTTGAAGATATTTTAAACTATGAATTCTAGAAAAGCTATAGGAAATAGAAAATTTGAGTTTGTGACAAAGACACAATTCCTTTCACTGAAAAGGGGTAAACATTAGAAAAATTGTCATAAACAACATTCATGGACAAGTCAAATTTTATACTTCTTTAATGTAAAAAGTTTAAAAAAACTTTGATTTAAAACCAAACCATATAAAACTCCACTAATTCAAAGCTAAATCTACGACTAGTTGTGAAACAGCAATTAAAAATTACGATGTTGGGATTGAAAAATCCTCCATTGAACTGATACCAAAAAATGTTGAAAAATTATATTTCTTTAAAATTAGAAAGAACTTACTCAAATTGGTTATTGTTGAATTTTATCCTGTATAAGTCTCCTCCAAAAACTTGGTGCTTAAAGTATAGTTCAGCACAGGATGATGATATAGGGAAAGCTGTCAAGTTATAAATCTGAACATTAAATCAAGGTTAATCGTTAACAATTATCTTTCATGATCTTCTGAAAATATTATTCAATTATCTTGAATTCTTATTTATGCATGATATATAAAGGATTATTCAATGTTCTTGAATTCTTATCTATGCATAATATAAGAAAGGAATACCTGATATTGTGATGAAGAGCAATCTTGAAAGGGAATTATATCAGTACTAGAATAGCTATCCATACAGTAGCAATCCTTATTCTGAAATATTTTTAATGGTCAACTTACGGAAGCTCAATATTGAATAATGGTTAGTTAAAAACCATTAAAAAAAATTTAGGTATTCGGTTTTTATCTATAGCTAAAACACACAGGTCTTTCGTAATTGTAAATTGACGGTACAGTCCAAACTAGGACCAAAAAGGTTGGCCCATCTCGAATATTCAAATGTTCGCGGGTTTTGTTGTGAGTGAATAGCAGAACATTCTTTTCGTTAATGGTATTTCCATTCATTTTTTTAATCACTGTTCGTCAATAACCTCCATATTAATAACATATATTTCAGAAATTATAAATGGTAAAGGCTGTTAGTCTTTTATGCAGAAAACAAAATAAAAGTTTCTGTTTAAAAAAAAAAATATCCGCTCGTAAATGACGTTGGCTGTTTGTTAACATGCTCTTCGGTTAAATTTACGTTCGAAAACCTCCGTTTCATTCAGGGAACCTTGCCAGTCTTACCTTTTCCAATACTTTATGTTTTGAATAGATAAAAATTAAACATTTAAAGAATTTATAACTTTAAAAGTAAAACAAATACCTGTATTGAGAAGTAAGATTTTCCCCTTTGCCGACATTTTTCAGCACAGTGCCGAGTAGAGAAGTAGTAACCATAGGATTGCAAGTTTTCCTTCATTGAAACAAATTCTCAGGGATCACAAGGAAAAAATATAAAAATGCCAAAAAAGTGTTTAAGTAAAAAGTGTTTAAGTAAAAAATGTTTAAGTAAAAAGTGTTTAAGTAAAAAGTGTTTAAGTAAAAATGTTTAAGTAAAAAGTGTTTAAGTAAAAAGTGTTAAAGTAAAAAGTGTTTAAGTAAAAAGTGTTAAAGTAAAAAGTGTTTTAGTGAGGATTGAAGGACAGAAGATGATATTTTGTCTAATCTTTTCTCAGGTTTAGATTAATAAAGAGTTTAATTAAAAAACACAATAAACTTCAAATATTGAAAATTAACCTTTTGAGCAGAGTTAGGTCTTGTGGCAGAACAGGTTAAATATCCTTCAGGAGTCTCCATTATTTCTAAATAATAATGTTAGACCAAACTATTTCAATGGTCAGTTTTCAAATGTACCCCTTTCAGCTACAAAGAAAATTGACAAAAATTGATTAAAAAATTAAAATGGAACAATTTAAAAATGAATTGCTTGATTCACGTTCCTCTGACCTGGTTTGAAGGATGCTAGAGTTATCTGGGTGCTGGCATCTGCAGACCGTTCAAATGAATTTGGTTGAAACTTGAGAAACCGGAAGTTCATCTTTGCAGTAAAAGTAAACCTGTCTTCAGAAACATTGCAGCTCTGGACACAAATAGACAATTAATAATTAATCATTATAAAATGCTATTTCATTCATGGGTATGCTACAATTTTATTAAATCTCACTTATCTTAAAGATTGTTTCTGTATAGTTTTATGATAAAAACCAGCTCTTTACAAAGGAATGGCATTTACTCTTTTTAAAATCAAATTTTCAAAATTTAAACCACATTTAAAAATACATATAGGAAAATAGTAACTGTTTTCAAGCGCGCAACTAGGGGGGGGGGGATGGGGGCCAGGCCCCTTAGTCTCCTTCCAAAAATAGCTAATTTTCTCGAAAATTAGATAAAAATATGCCCCCACAGTGATTTTTTTTAGAACCTACACTTTTTAAGTAAACTCAAATTCCATTACAACATTTTTCAATATAAGCTCAGATTCTTTTTATTTTTGCCCCTTTTATTTAAATCACACTCACACATTCTTATTCAAATTGCCCCACCAGACTTAAATTTTCCCCCTTTTTTCAACATTTGTAACCCTTGTTTTTTTTGGAATGCCACCCAATATTTTTAATTTGCTCCTAAATAAAATTTTTTTCCCCAAATGTTTATAAATACAAACAACTTTAAATTTAAAGCCCTATCTTAAAAAAATGCCCCTTATTTATTTAAGATAATGCTCAAAAAATTAAGAAGTTTTGCCCCCAACAAAAACATAACCCTTATTTTAAAAAATGCTCTTAAATAAAAATGTTTGAAATATCAAGGGTTTACATCATCAGATTGTAAAGTTTGTGACAAAAACTCAGTTCCTTTGCCCTGATCTAAATGAATGCCCCCAAATATAAACATTTTCACCCAAAATATCCTCAATTGGTAAGGTAGTTTTTTTGTATGGTTGAGTATAATACACAGTTTTCTAGCCCCCCCCCCCATTGAAGTTTGGGGGGGGCAAACATTTTTTGGTGCGCTACGCGCAGATTATTTGCCCTTTGCCCCCCAATTGCTGAATGTCTAGTTGCGCGAATGAGTCTGTTTTAGAATTAACTCATGGAAAATATAGCTTTAAGTCAGGAAATTTAATAAATTAGTTTTTAAAATTATAACTGAAGTTTGTCTTTGATTTGTCATTAAAACCAGTTGCACTTCCCTTAGCATCAAAATTAGCACAAATAATTATGAGGACAAAAATTATTCAAATTGTTCATATTGCCAAGGCAATTTGATTAAACAATTTTAACCTTGTACACACATAGAGATTGCCAACAAAGGAATTGAGTCTTTGCCACAAACTCTGATTTTCTTATCCCTAGATCGTTGCAACCCAATAACGTAGACCTTAGATATTTCAAGACTCAAATCTTTTAAAATAATAGAAAATAGAGTAGATGCTAATTATAGTATTGACCAATAAACCGGAAATGATTGATTGCACAAACTGCAAGCAAAGTTACCTGAAATTGCAAAAATTTGTATTTTAGTGAAATGAAATTAAATTGAGCCGAGATGATTATACTCATCTAAGTTTCAACAACTGAGAACACATAAAGATAAATAACATAATAAAATAGCGCCCTACCAGTCCCTTTGCTGGAGATAGAGTTCCATCAACAAGCGTTGTAAATGTTCTCATATCATTAGACCCAAGCAGTGTAAACTCCTTAGTGCCACAACAGTCCAGGGTTCCTTTGTGTGAGTTTTGGATCTTTAGTCCTGTAAACCTCAGTGGGCAGCCATAGTCCAAAACAAACTACAAACAGAGATTGTACTTTTAAAGTTTATCTACATATGTATACCTAAGAATAGATTCTCACATAGACAACTAGAAATACCATTGTTACAGTAATAATTTACTTAGTCAGTGCACTTTATGATTTATATATTTATGTTTATTTACCATAGAGAACAAATTGTGAGAACATTTTAATCTTCTAAAAAAAATTGTTTTATGTGATATCATACTTACTGAAGCTTCAGTTCCAAGTGTATTCAGGTTTGCTGACCATATACTTGCTGTCTTAGTATCCTCACACTCGGAATCTAGAATAAAACGGGTTTACAAAAATTCATTCTTTACAGTTTGTAATATAGAAACAGATCAAAAGACCACCATATCTGATTTGCCTCAAATTCTAATTGGGGGACTCCTAGAAAATATGTGGAATATTGTAAGCTCAAAATGTTATCCATTTCAAACTTTTTGATCAAACAGAATTCATACTTTAGAATATCAAAGCCGAGGTCTATCATTTTCGAGTTGAAAACATGCTTTTTAAAATTACCAAATGTTAGATTGTGAACATAAATAAAACCCATAATCATGATTAGTATTAAAAAACCTGTAAGAGCATCCAGGACTTTAGGATCTGTAGATGTTGATCGTGAATCAATAACAGCTGAAGGAGTCTTACATGTTCTCGAACCTGTGGATTTAGTTTTTAGAATTTAGGACTGCATGAGGAGTAAGCACACATATTATCTCAATCTTTGGAATTAGTTGGACAACTAATCAGAACTCTTTAACACTATTTATTTATTGCAATAACTCAAAAAGTATTTGAGCTAGGAAGCTCAAATTATCTGACTTTTCTAACTAACACATGATTATCACTTAAGGCTAAAAGCTGGGCTTTTATACATGCTGCCTGAGTCCTTAAGCATACAGCCTTTTTTACCTATACCAGACTAAATCTATATTTAGACCTACGTCCAAAGTTTGGATTTCAACTTATTATTGTTCTTTAGAAAGCGTATAACAAAAGTAACCAGATTGCACAATTTTTGCAAAAAAATTTTGCACAGATTTTTCCACAGACGCCTTTAAAAGGAATTTGAGCAAATTCAGTTTTTCTTAAATACACATTTAGGTTTTGAAAATTTTGCAAATGTTTTTGCATATATGCATTCGGAAAGTGAAGGGTTTTTCAAAAATGTATAATATGTTGCTATTTGCGCCTTTTTTTGCTTCTTTCGCAAGATTAATTTGGATTTTTTCATAGGAATTGAGTGTTTGCCACAAATTCAGTTTTTGTAAAACCTATATCATTGCAACCTTATGATGTAAACCTTTGATATTTCAAACTTACATTATTTTATCTAATAGCATTTATAGTTTAAGATATTAATGGTCTACGACATTGGGTTGAAACGATATTGAAATTAGAAAATCAGAGTTTGTGGCAAAAACTCAATTCCTTCGCAATATTTTTTTGCAGATTACTAAAGTTTAGCCCAAGGACTTTCCAAAAACGTATCAAATGTTATAGATTTGTATTACAACAGTTATGAAACCAGACGTCAGGATAAATAGGGTTAAAGCTTTTTATAGGTCAGTAACTTTTTACAATTTCTTGTAAACTTAAATCTTCCTTGATATTTATGTCAATATATATGTTTTATTAGAATCTTTTTATTTTGTTTGAATATTTTTCTTTAAATACATTTTTTTGTCCGTAATGAAAATTTTGAATGTGTCACTGCTACTATACAGTTCTATTAAGTCTGATGAAAGAAAACTTACCACAGGTCTTTGAGCCCGAAACAGCAAAGAGCATTGGTTCAAGAGCTGTTATTTCTCCACTGTATAACTTACAGGTATTAGGGGTAGAGCTACGATCCGACAGCCATGTGTATTTCTAAACACAATATTGTAATTTTAAACAATCAGAGTCTGGATTTAATAATTGGAGACATTTTCGAACTATGTATGGTGGGTTCAACTATTTTTGAAGTATTCGCTGACGCACATTTAAAATCACAATGTCAAAGTTCAACATTTTGATTAACCCTATAAAATGAGGAGCTGAGAGCTCGTACCAATAAAAGTTTCCTTGGCCAAACCAAACTAGGCTCTAGGACATGAACTGTTGGTTTTGTTTGTTAACAATTTTAAAATTAACCGGGTTTGTCGTTTCTTACCGGAATCTTTAGTTATTTTTCTAAAACTTGAATTTGAACCAGCTGCTGCATAAAAGATACAAAAATTAAAAGCCTTATTTTTACGTGAGTTTGTCTACAACGAAGTGTCTGAGTATCTATCTATGTCTGAATCTGAATATATTCATATTTTGATATCTAATTCAAAATTCATCGAAAATATCGTAATAAACCATATTTACTAAAATATTCAAAATACAAAGCTAACTGTTAATTATTTTAAGGACCATCACAAATATGTTTGTTTATTTATAAGTTCTTCTAATCTTTTTCCTTTTCTCTCATTCACTGCGATTTAGTGGTCTCACGCTCTCAAGCAAAAATCGTTGAGAATTTTGCCAATTACTTCTAAAAAACCAAATCTAACAAGAAGTGCTTTATCATAAATAAAGATATGTTTAATTTCTAATTTGTGCAGAGAGTAAGGGGCCTAAAAAATTAACAATATTGAAAATTTAGGGGGGGGGGAGGGTTACCCTTCTCCCAGATTTTATTTAGAGGTAGGGGGTATAATGGAATTCTTGGTAAAAGTTTAGAACTTATTCTTTTATCTAACATTTGCATGAAAAATTAGAGTATAAATAAACTTTTTTTTATAAGATTTCTTACATTAAGTGATACTTTTTACTATATGTAGGTATATAAAACATTTGGTAAAATGTGAAAAGAAAGTTCAAAATACCTGGACTACACTCTCTGGTTCCATGAACCGTGTTCCCAATATTGTTATTTGGTCCATCTAAAGTTTTTCCAATAAAACATCTCTTATCAGCTGTAATCCAACTCCAAACATCACAATTATCAATATTGCTCCTATTTTATTTTTCGTTTTTTTCTCCAATTAATTCTTCTTGAATTTATTTAGTTTTTAACAATGTCTTTTGTTTATGTAAGTCTACTTGACGGAGGGCAAACTTCTGAAAGAATATGTCCAAGGTTTGATAAAACTGAAATATGGATTGTTTAGAATACAACGAGTAAATATTCCTGCAGTGTTCTGAGCAAAGTTGTGGTGATGCTGTTGGGGTAGATACCATGGTTATCCTTTTTTGTAAGACATCAATAAAAGGACAGTCATCTAAAATATTAAGAAAATGATTAGAAAATAATTGACTCTCAGCCACAAACTCTGATTTTCTAAAACCTATATCTTTGCAACTAAATGATTTATATCTTTAAAATTTCAAACTTAGATTATTTGATCTTACAGAATTCATAGTTTGAAATATTCAAGGTCTTCGACATTTTGTTGCAAAGATATAAGAATTAGTAAACCAGAGACAAAATTTGTGGATTTAATTTACATGGGGTGTCCTAGAAAAGAAAATTGATAGGGGGTTTAGAGCCTTTTCTGTATTCACTTTGGGCCCTGTCATACAACATTAAAATATTTAGTTGGTCTTGTTTCTCACATTTGTTTACTCAAGGCCTTGTTATTAATCAGAGTTGTGACTCTTACGTCAAAAAAACTTAATAAAAAATAAAAAGTTATTTTCCTTGTGCTAAAAATGCTCAATGCATATAATCCTAAGCACCCCTTTTTCTGAGATAAACTGTAGATGAGTATTCCACATACTTGAAAAACAATATTTGGGGTAATTTCCCAAGAAAGGAGTTGAGTTTTTGCCATAAACTCTAATTTTTTATTATCCATACAATCTGTACCCCAATGTCGTAGACCTTTGGTAAATTTCAAACTATGAATTCTGTCAAATCAATATTCTAAGTTTAAAATATCGAAGGTTTAAACCATCAAGCTCTTTAGATGAAGTGATTCAGAAAATTTGAATTTGTGGCAAAAACTCAAACTAATTCTTTGGGAGAATATTTTCGAGTCCTTGATAATTCTCATCCGAGAACTGTGAAACATGTCAATCCAAGAAAATAACTAAACACTCAACACAAACTCTATTTCGCTAATTCCTATATCTTTGCAACCTGACATTATAAACTTAGTTCATGATGTTACATATGAAAAATCAAAGTCTACGACTGCAGGTTGCAAAGATATAGAAATTAGAATATTCGCATTTTTGAGGGTTTTTATAGTTCTTTTTCAAATGACGAGTGACGAGTTTTGCTAAAAATAATTCCCCTGCAATGTTTTAAACCTTTGAAGGAAAAAACATTTCTTTTCGAAATTTCACGCTTTGATCCATTTTTTTTAGCACCATTCCTCTATTTTATGGAAGAATGTTGTTGGTGGACTGGAACATCATGAAAAGTATAAAATCTTTCTTAGGACCCAATTTAAAGGGACCGTTTACTTTTTTGGGTAATTTCTATGTCTATAGAGAGGGACCGTCCCTTTCCGCTCAAATTCTGAACGAAAAATCGGCTTTTTCTCCGGCCACAGTTGTCTCTGAAAAGTAAGACTATTACCGAATAGGCTGTTTAGTTTACCCTGAAATTACACAAATAAGTGAACGGTCCCTTTAATGATCTAGAGAGATAGTTTAGCGACCTAGTTCAAATTCATTGAATTCGGTCCAGGGCATTTTTGACCAATTTATCATTCTAATCGCATCATTATTATCATTTGCAGAAGTGAATAGAAGCTTAGAACTCAATTTGTTTTATTTAGGTATAATTGATAATTTTTTGCCACACCCCTATAAAGCCCTGGAAGATACAATACTTACATATGGGAGTAGTTTTGGACCCACTGAACTCTGTATTCAGCATTGAGCCAGGTTTAACTTCAAGTGTCTTCCAGTTTGTAAAGGTAAGGCAGGTCTTGGTTGATTTATAGAAAATCCAGCCCCGACACCCTTCCTAGATAAAAAAAACCAAAGTGTAATACAGCTGTCAACAACCAAACAACTATACTTACTTGTATACAATGAGAGATAAATCATATGAAATCAAGAAGATGTATATAGTACTGAGAAGATAAAGAAAGACAATGAGAGATAAATCATATGAACTCAAGAAGATATATACAGTACTGAAAAGAGAAAGAAAGGCAATGAGAGATAAATCATATGAAATCAAGAAGATGTATATAGTACTGAGATGATAAAGAAAGACAATGAGAGATAAATCAAATGAAATCAAGAAGATATGTATAGTACTGAGAAGATAAAGAAAGTCAATGAGAGATAAATCATATGAAATCAAGAAGATTTATATAGTATTAAGAAGATAAAGAAAGATAATGAGAGATAAATCATATGATATCAAGAAGATATAAATAGTACTGAGAAGATAAAGAAAGGCAATGAGAGATAAATCATATAAAATCAAGAAGATGTATATAATACTGAGAAGATAAAGAAAGGCAATGAGAGATAAATCACATGAATTCAATTGGTACAATCATGTGTTTACAAAACCAATTTGACATAGCACTATTATTACTGATATTTTTACCTACAACAGTTTCAACTCCAATGTATGTTATCGCTGCACCATCATCTTCATACTCCAGAATTGATACTTTTACATATCTTGCAGTTTGAATTGTTGGAAACGGTATTCTATCAAGTTCAGCGTTACATCCCTAAACAAAACTATTAAAATACTATCATATCAATACTAATACATCCTTTCTTTTTGTGTTAAAAATATAAATCCTATCCTTATGTTCGAAATATCATTCATATCTTTTTGTCTGAAATATCAATCCTATCTTAATGTTTGAAATATCATTACTATTTTATGTCTAAAATATCAAGTATATCTTTCTGTTCGAAATATCAATCCTATCTTTATGTCTGAAATATAAATCCTATCTTTCTGTTCGAAATATCAATCCTATCTTTGTTGTTGAAATATCAATCCTTTCTTTATATTTATAATAGTAATCCTATCTTTATGATTAAAATGCCTAGATATACATTAGAATAGATTGTTTATGTAGACTATAAACAGGGAATAAGATTAAAGGGAATGGAACTGGCACTGAACGGGCATGAGAAAGCCAGTCGCACTGCGTTGTAGACGGGTTCCTTGTAACACACGCACACTATATTTTTCTATCCTTATGTGAGAATATAAATTCTATCATCCTATCCTTATGTCAGAAATTTCAATCCTCTCTTCCTAACCTTATGTCAGAAATATCGAACCTACCACCCTCCTTTTGTCAGAAATATCAATCCTACCATCCTATCCTTATGTCAGAAATATCAATCCTATCATCCTATCTTTATGTCAGAAACATCAATCCTATCATGCTATCCTTATGTACGAAATATCAATCCTATCATCCTATCTTTATGTCAGAAATATCAATCATATCATCCCATCCTTATGTCAGAAATATCAATCCTATTATCCTTTCCTTATGTCAGAAATATCAATCCTATCTTCCTATCCTTATGTCAGAAATATCGAACCTACCACCCTCCTTTTGTCAGAAATATCAATCCTACCATCCTATCCTTATGTCAGAAATATCAATCCTATCATTCTATCCTTATGTCATAAATATCAATCCTATCATTCTATCCTTATGTTAGAAATATCAATCCTTTCATCCTATCCTTATAACAGAAATATCAATTCTATCTTTATGTTTGAAATGCCAGTACTATCTTCCTATCCTTATTTCAGAAATATCAATCCTATCATTCTATCCTTATGTCAGAAATATCAATCCTATCATCCTATCCTTAAGTCAGAAATATCAATTCTATCATCCTATCATTATTTCAGAAATATGAATTCTATCATCCTATCATTATTTCAGAAATATCAATCCTATCATCCTATCCTTATGTCAGAAATATCAATTCTATCATCCTATCCTTATGTCAGAAATATCAATTCTGTCATCCTATCATTATTTCAGAAATATCAATCCTATCTTCCTAGCCTTATGTTAGAAATATCAATCCTATCTTCCTAGCCTTCTGTCAGAAATATCAATCCTATCTTCCTAGCCTTATGTCAGAAATATCAATCCTATCTTCCTATCCTTATGTCAGAAATATCAATTCTATCATCATATCCTTATTAATTTATCGAACCTACCATCCTCCTCATGTCAGTAACATCAATCCTAACATCCTGTTCTTATTCAGAAATATCAATCCTATCATCCTATCCTTATGTCAGAAATATCAATCCTATCATCTTATCCTTATGTCAAAAATATCAATCCTATCATCTTATCTTTATGTCAGAAATATCAATCCTATCATAAAACTGAAACAATCATTGCTCACTGAGGTTCTTTTGTTGGGTGGAGGTGAGTTAAAAATCGTGTTAAAATAAAGATGAATAAGATATTTTTTGAATAATCTAAAATAAAATACCTTGCCCGTTGGATCTGTTAGGGTGAAACTGCTCACAACATCATTATAATTATCATCATCAGTAGATACAGATATCTTAACTTTCTATATACTTTCCATAATTAGTATTTTACCATTATATTTTTTCTACCTCCCCCCTCCCCCCCCCACCCAGTTCCTAAAAAATCCATTTTATCGTAAAATTATACATTTGCTAGTATTACATTGTGTTACATGTTTATGACTACAGTAGGAGCCATGAAACTGTGAAAAATAAAGACGATTTTTAAGCAATCTTATGTGTATTAGTTTTATGGTAAATAGTTTTAACAGCTAGTTAAAAATGAACTATGATAGGAAACTATAAGGTAAGTGTAGTGTTTAGTGTGAACAACTTCCCTATTCAACTGTTTTATGGGCCCAACTGTAAATAAGACAAGCCAACCACGAATCTTGATATCGACCAAAAAGGATAGCTAGCTGCACAGACACACTAATAATCTGCTTTGCTATAATAGTTAAAATTGCGATCTTAAAGGGAGTCTTTGCGAAAAAATGAAAAGGGGAATAGGCTTACGGCGAAAAATAGTTGATATTTCATAATATTTTTTATTTTTTATTATCTGATAGTTACTTCTGAAAATATTTATTCCTGTTTCGAGGATTTATGATAACGAAGACGACATTTCATTTTTCCCAGGAATGTACGAAAATCCAGTGCCAGCGAAATAATATTTAAAAAAGCAAAATCAAAAATAATATGAAATATTAACAATATATGAATGCGTCGAAAAATAGTCGATGATTAATGGCTGTAATATCTGAATGATTTGTTTGGAATTAAATTGATTTTTTTACGATCCGAGTTGAATGTTGCAACTTTCTGAATTTGTATGGACGCTACGTTCCTCAGCATGACTACTTTTTAACAATTTTCTCCTGATAGACGCAACAGATAGAAGTAAGATTAGTAGCGATCAAAAGCGCTTATTTTTCGCCGTAAGCATATACCCCCTTCAATTTTTCGCGAACACTCCCTTTAATAATTCAGAATAAATGAAAAATAATTTGCCCTATATCAATGAAATTTTAAGCATTGTTAATAAAATATTTCAGAAAAAAAGACGACATTTCATATTTCCCAGGAATGCTCGAAAATCCAGCGCTAGCGAAATCTTATTTAAAAAAACAAAATCAAAAATATTATGAAATATTAACAATATACGAATGCGTCGAAAAATAATAGATGATAAATGGTTGTAATATCTGAATGATTTGTTTGGAATTGAATTGATTTTTTTAGGATCCGAGTTGAAAGTTGCAACTTTCTGAATTTTTATTGGCGCTACGTTCTTCAGTGCAAGTCGTTTTTAACAATTTTCTCCTGATAGACTCAATAGATAGAAGTAAGATTAGTAGCGATCGAAAGCGCTTATTTTTCGCCGTAAGCATATACCCCCTTTAATTTTTCGTGAACACTCCCTTTAATAATTCTGAATAAATGAAAAATAATTTGCCCTATATCAATGAAATTTTAAGCATTGTTAATAAAATATTTCAGAAAATTTGCAAATTAAAGCCAATTCAGCCAAAAACATAAAAATATGAATAAGTTGTTTAATGTTTGAAACAAATTATTGTTTATCTATTTACTGAATGTTTATATGAAAATCAAAAGCAAGAATGAATTGAAATTCCTCAATCTCATGTCAAGAAATGATGTTCGTAAAACCTGTAAAACCTCGAGTGGGCTATTTTCAAAGTTAGACTTTACTTTCATCAAATAAATAACATTGAGGTTTAATTCAATGGAAAATTTCCGTGGTTTTGCAATTGTCTCCATTATTTTGGTTGTCCGCAGTTTCACAAGGCCCAGCTCGGTTTCTTATAATCACCCTTAAAAAAATACAACTTAGTATTATCTACACATAAGTAAATATATATTATATATGGATTGTCTCTCTGTCTTTTTGTATCCAAAAATCGTCAAAACGGCCAACCAATTGGGCCCAAACTTTTTGGGGCTATTCATATGACCTAAGTAAAGGTTAAGGGTAAGCCAAAACGAATAATTTTGCTGCAAAATGTCAATTTAATATTTGTTAGGAATTCATGAAAAAGAACAGAAAAAATTGAGAATTTTTTAAGTTTCACATCGTAAAAAGTAAACACAAAGCTGTTTTTGTTACTAGAAAAAGGGGCAAATAGTTCAGACATTAACCAATTTCTTATAGACATAGGCAAATCATGGTCCCCATGTCGACTTTAACATAAAACATAAAGGGTTACAAACAAAGGATGAGATTTTAATGACAACCTGAAACTATTAAATTTGAGATATGAAGGGTCTTTGTTTGAATAAAGCCTTAGAAAGAAAATACAGCTACGGGGAACCCTGAGTGCAAAAAACAAACACAACATATTCCGTGGTCTCTAAAACCTGATCCTTTTTGGGTTACCCTGTAGTAGGGTTTCCAACACAAGTGGATTTTACTTGCGCGCATCAAATTGCGAGCATGCAATTTCACACAATACCGCGCAATTTCACGCAATTTCGCGCGATTCCACGCAATGTCGCGCAATTTCGCGCAATTCCGGGCAATGCCGCACAATTGTGTCCCATTCGAGAACAGTTGCGCGCCATTCCGCACAGTCTCCCAAAATTCTGCGCAGTTGCGCACAACTGTGAATATACACAAAACAGATTTTAACAAATAAAATTTTATACCCGCTCATCCGACCCGAAGGAAACTGCAGCGTATTCCGAACTAAAATTGCACAACGAACTTAAAATAGGTTAGGTTGGGTATAGTCAGGTAGCATACAGATACAACAACTTTGTTATGAGGGGACAATTCAAAATCCTTTCAAACGCGCTGAGAGTTAAAGCTGTATACTCGATATTTTCATAAAAATTGGTCGATAATTAGGTCAGTTTCCCTAACATATCTAGCGTTAACAATTTAAACTCTGTTCACCTATCAATGGCAACTTCGCAGCGTAAAATCTTAAATGGCGCGCAAAATTTTTAATTTATCGGCTTTATATTCGCGACTCTGATTGGTTTAATTTTATACGCTTTTCAGAATACAAGTACTAGAAGTACAAGATTAGATTAGTCTCGATAATAGGAAAATGAGAGGATCAAGCATTAATCTCGATATCCACTTTTCTAAAGTTTTCAGCTCAGGTAACATACAAATTGGATGAGGCGTCTCAACGTTGTAATGAGGTGACAATTCAAAATTCTTGACAACTCGCTGAGAGTTAAAACTGTGTTATCGATATTTTCATAAAAACTGCTCGATAATTAATTAGGTCAATTTTACAAACATATCTAGGAATTTAAACTCTGTTCACCTATCAATGGCAACTTCGCAGCGTAAATCCAGAACAAGATTGGCATTGCTTTCATCTTCTCCCGCCCAGTAAGAGCAGTCGTCAGTTAACACAGAATCTTCATGAAAAGGACTACTCCTCGTTCGACTTTCAGATTCTATCTCAGTCCCTTTCCCACAAACTAAATTTTATTGTTTTTTATTACAGTTTATTGTTTTCCAAATCAAAGTCATTTCAAAACAATATTGTAGAATTGAATTGTGGATTTTTGGCGCAATTAGTTGCGAAAATGCAACATGGAATGATTCCATTTCAGGGTGTTCCGAAATTGTAAAACCTGGGATGTGGGTTAAAGTTATTTAATAAAAGCAATAGCTGTCTACGAATTTGATTTGAAAAAATTATTTAATTTTGGCCAATTGTTGTCTTTGTTGAGCTTACAAAATGTTTGTTATAGTTTATACTATTCACTTTTGTTCTCGATATATATGACGGGATCTTACAAAATTTGGAACTAATGTGTTTTTACGAAAGCATTTAACATTAAAAATAAATAAATATTTTAATCATTATTGAAAAAACGGAAATAAAAAGGAACCTTCATGTGGTGGTAGATAAGCAGTAGCTTCGTTGAATATGAAAACGAAAACTAACACGACATTAAGCCACATTCTGACAATCTGAAATTAAATTAATACGCCTGCTTAATAATTGATTTGTTGTAAGAAATCTTTTAATGTCTATACATTGATAACTGAAAATTGCTGCAATTGCAGATTTTTATTCTTAATTTCTCCTTTTGAATTGATATTTGACTTAAACAATGTATTTAAAACAGTTTAAGAATGTTTAGACTTTCTGTGAAATTATTTAGTAAACAAATACAATACATAATTATTTTAGTGCATTAGTATANCTTTTTCATTTTCAAACCTCATTGAACCCCCCTGTAAAAAACTTTCATTTACTGCTCTTGCTTGCTTTGTTTAGTGATGATACTAATTATATGTGTAATTAGCTCCCCTCCCACCCTCTTTAATATATTTAATCATTACTAACAAAAAACATTTTAAGAAGTGCCCGGCATTGCCCGTGGAATTTTAAAAACAAAAAATTGAATATAAAAAATAAATTTTTTAGTCTATGTTACGCATTCTACCAACAGGTTTTCTCTAAAAATATTAGCCAGCTTTATCTAACTTATGAATATAATATATATATAAATACTTACACTGAAATATACATAAACTGTTAGTCATCAATTTTTGGACAGCCTCGACTTTAAAGTGGAAAAAAGCGTTTGTTTCAAGCTTAAGTTTAAATGGAGTAATCAAAGATATATCTGATTGATTTTATTCTATTAAAGAGAAATAAATGATTAACGGCATCTATAATAATAGCCCAATTTAGGGTTATTATTACCCAATTTAGGGTTAAAATAGCCCAATTGAGCGTTATAATAGCCCAATTTAGGGTTATAATAGTCCAATTTAGGCTTATAATATCCCAATTTAGGGTTATAATATCCCAATATAGGGTTATAATGCTTAAAAACCTTTTCTCTCAATTTACGTAAGTTAAAATTTGTTTCATCAACAAAATTAGAGAGAAACCTTTGCTAAACATATCCGATTTGATTAGTTATTGATTAGTAGTATCAAGGTAATAATGCAAGGAAAGATATTTCAGATGAGTACGCATTTTTTGTACTGCAGGGGTCTTTGGGCGGAAAGGTAAACACAAGACGGATTTCACAGCCTGACATGGAATCCATTTTCACTCTAATAATCAAAGAAATATTCTGGTCATAGGAAACTATTATGTGAATTATCGAAATTATCAAAATTAAATGTAATACTAGACAAACACTGATGCATCTATTCTTGTTTACAAAATCCGTCCAGAGAGAACTGGTTTCAATATGTACGAAGAGTATTCACAACAGCAATTAACTTTCCTTGCATTAGTACCTTGGTAGTATGTGTCATACTCGAATTTATAAAAAAAATGCATCTTTACAACCTGACGTCGCTAACCTTTGACATTTAAAACAATGCATTCTGTTCAGATTAAATACACAAATTTCAGGTTGCAAAGATATTTATAGCGTTCAGAAAAGTGAATTTATTGAAACACGGGAATATATGAAAAATTAAGTTTGCTGATATTCATTCTTCTGATCATGGTTTAACTTATATATAAACAATTTATATAGTATCTACACAATTTAAGGAATTTATGACAAATCTCGGAATCAATCAATGTTCACCATCTTGTGCAGTAAAAGGAGGTTGATTTTTAAAGAATTTTCGAATTTTCGAACAATAACAATTTTAACAACTTTAAGAACAAATTAGTTTAAATAACCTATATGTTGCTATTCTGGGTGAAGCAAGTGGAATTTCCAAAATTGACCTCCCTTATTGTGCAGACCTACGGATATGTGGTGGTCATACCCTACATAGATAAATTAATGAAGGGATCAAGCATAAATCTTCAAATATAAAAAGCCCATATAGGATATAGAGATCAAGCATTAAAGATTAACGATACTCCACAGAAAATCTCTCATCTCTTCTCAACGGTTTCCATTCAAATCCATTGATTTATCTACAATTTTTTTTCCAATTTGAAATCCCAATAAGTACATGCTTAAAAAATATAGATAACAAATTTACGAAATCAACCAAGTCAAAACGGGAAACTTCAAACTTTCATAATTTCCATAATCTGTGTATTTTTACTCTAGTCTGCAAATTAACACTCAATTAATGGAAATAATCTCTAGAAATATAAAATGTCCAAAAATACAAAAATTAAACAATGGAAAGCATGGTTTCATCTTAAACCCCAGATTAAAGTTTGTATCTCACTCTACTAGGGCTGGGCAAGTTCCAAATTTTTTTATCCGTGTTGTTAACGGTTAGTTCTAATGGTTAAAAAAGAAAAATTTCAGATAGCCGTTAATTTTAAAGGTAAGAACGGAACGTTCGTTTTGTTTACGGCAGTTTCTGTTTGTTTTCTAATTGCTGTTAGTTAAAGATTTCAATTTTATTAACGGCGTTAACGGAAAATTTTCAACAACCGTTAACGGTTCTAGCTGGTAATGGTACCGTTATTACAGAATTAATGGTGGGAAGTGTCAAAAAATGTCTTTAATGGTCTATTGCAGTATTTCAAAAACGGTTAATCCGTTTTGTTCATGATTTAATAATCAACATTTTTTGCCGTTCATCATCGGACTCTTTCGTTAATTTTTGAAAACCTCCGTTTCATTATCGGAACTCTGCCCAGCCCTAAACTCAACGTGTCAAATAAAAGTTTAACATTAAATAGGCCAAAAAGGTATAATCTTTATATATACTTGTCTTGTCTGTTTGTTGCATCCAATAAACGTAAAAACGACTGAACCCATTGGGCCCAATTTTTTTTTTGGCATTTCAAAAAAATTTCAAACAGTGAAATTCAGAGCAACCATTAAAAAGTAAAATTTTTCATAGAAGAACGAGGGCGAGTGACCCCCAGACTAAAAGCCTAATATCGCATAAGACAGTAAACAGAACTGTAATGACTGTACATAACAAATTTTACTAAAAGATTGAAGGAATTGCCACAAACTCAAATTTTCTAATCTCTCTATCTGTGCAACCTGTTTGTGTAAACTGTTAATATTTCACGCATTGACTTTTTGATCTAAAATAATTTATAGTTTGAAATATGAAAGGTCCTCAATAAAGGGTATCAAATATATAGGGATTAGAAAATCCGGCGAAAAACACTAATTTTCCTTTCAGTGTTTTCTCCAACGCCACGTTCAATCAAAGTAAAATTTGTTCTTCTTTAAATTGTATAATGCATGCACCCCCAACTAAGCTTTCGGTGCGGTCTGCAGTACACTGCAGTACACTGTCCGAAAATATAGTGGCGTTTAGTGGATAGTAAATGGGATTTTGTTTATATAATATCTTTTTCATTTTCAAACCTCATTGAAGCCCATTCTGTCCGACTGTTGAAGTTGAACTGGTATGTCAACTGGTCAAATCGTTTTTTAACGACTCACTTCATGAATTGTTTATTTCGAGGGTATGTTTGGTTTCACAAGACAACCATATAAACAGGGTCGGTCCTATATCCTCTCTTCATGAATTGTATATTTCGAGGGTATGTTTGGTTTCAACAAGCCAACCATATAAACAGGGTCGGTCCTATATCCCTAGCTACATCAATTACACAGTGGGAGCTAGAACCTTGGAACTTATTAACAAACTTAAAATATATGAAAAAGTACAGATTTTACACAAATTATAGATATTTTAAACTAAGAATTCTGTTAGATTAGTTAATCAAAGTTTGGAATATTAAAGGTTTCAGGTTGCAAAGATATAGGGTTTAGATAATTTAATTTTGTGTCGAGGACTATAATTCCTTTGTAATTCTTTACTGTTAATCTTAATGTGTATAGTGGAGTTTTTTAAACTTCATAACTGAAAACAAAAGTGTTTTTTGAAGTAAAAGAGAGGTCGGTCACAACTCACAAGGCCATTCGGGTTTTCTAAAAAATCGAAATTGTCCAAAACTTTCTGGGTGACAGAGATTTCATTTATATAAACGAACAGCAGTTGAACAAATTTGAAAGCTAAACATTGTCATATTTATAGCTCTCATCAATTTTACCACAATCAAAAATTCAAACAAGTTTCCACGTTTTCAAAAATGTGCTAATGGGAAATTAATTTCTTTTCTGGCCCTAAATATTTTCTGTGTTTCAGATTCCGTTTTAAAATCAGTTTCTGAACCTTGAAACCTGGACCAAGTGCTAAACCTCTAAATCTGGACCAAGCTCCGGACCTTTAAATCTGAATCAATTTCTGAACCTTTAAATCTGGATCAAGTTCTGAACCTTTAAATCTTGACCAAGTTCTGAACCTTTAAATCTGGAACAAATTCTAAAACTTTATATCTGGACTAGGTTCTGAACCTTTAAATCTGGACCAAGTTCTGAACCATTAAATTAAAATCAATTTCTGAATCTTTAAATCTACATTAATTTCTAAACCTTTAAATCTGGACCAGGTTCTGAACCTTTAAATATGAATCAAGTTCTGAACCTTTAAATCAATTTTAAAACCTTTTAATCTCTCCCCTCCCTGTAAATCAAAAGTGCACTTTATGTAGATATATTATGTCTATTTTTGTTTTAAATTTATTTTACAACTTAACAAGGGGCTGGCATGCACTACATATTTTGCTCGCTGCAAGGCCCTGGTGTTAACAATTTTAGAATTAGAAAAAAATAATGCAAATTTATGGAAACCATATGGGGCTGGGGTGGGCACATTATTTTTTCAAAACTTGATATTTTGAAAAATCAATTTTCCAAAGTGTTTTCAAAATTTCACGTGCAACGCTTGGCACTTCACCTTGTTATTGTTATTAATATTCTTACTACATGAATTAAAATAAAATATATCACATTACTATAGGCAATTTTAGGGCTCTTCGCGCCCATCTTCTATTTTACCCTTTAATTGTGACTCTTTCTGTGAGCTTTTTCTCTTTGCACAATACAAAACAATGACAAAGAAGAATTCGCGATTTTCAATTATTTTGTCACAAATTTTTAAAATTTCACAAAAATCAAAAACTTTTGGATGCAACTTGTGATTCTGAGCATCC